TTACATGTCAGTGTGACCTGAGGATCTCCTGTCTTGTTTCTCTCTCTGCTTGTCTTAGTCACTTTCAGCAGACATGTTGCTTTATCCCAGGGAGTTTGCTTCCCCCTGAGCATGTTCCAAACACTGACCTGAATCCCTACTCACAGTCGTTCCTTTCCAGAAGTGCTAAGCCTCCAGACAAGCATCCACTCACTCATAAACTCAACCTCTCTCTCTCTCTCTCCTACTTTTCCACTTACTCTGGATGCTAGATAGCAAAACAGCTGTTGTATTTTCCCCCTCAGAGTTTGTTTGTATCTGACTTCATGTCAGAATGCATTCAGAACAAAAGCACTTTTAACCTGGGAGCTCCAACCCTCCCCCATCTCTCTCTCTCTCTCTCTCTCTCTCTCTCTCTCTCTCTCTCTCTCTCTCTCTCTCTCTCTTCAGTTCCACTGTTCCAAGAACAGTTGTGTAATTTGTAACTACAGTTGTTACATATGCACACATGGAGGATATCAACCCGGTCACACTAAATGCGTCTCTATAGCACGCATTGTGTTTATTTTTACATGCATGTGATACGCATGGGTAGGTTTAGGGTAGGATTAGAATTGGTATACATTACAGTTTTGTTTTTGTTTTCTCTGAGCCCCATTCTCTGAACTAAATTCCCAATAGCCTAAATCAATTGGTCAAATAAATAGTTCAGGTAGTTAAAACACTGTCTGCAAATCTCATGAGCTCTTTTTTTTTTTCAAAACTTTAAACACATTTTCACTAAGTAAAAACAAATTCCACACTGTGATACACATAAGTTTCAAAACGCTTAACACAGGCAGGCAAAAGTTAAACACAACTCAAAATGGTTCTCACTTATTTCTAATTATGTGGCCAAACCAACTCTACATAATACAAGTCAGTTCAGAGTCCCAAAATTGACTCAAAATGTTGCACTGAATGTTGACACCAACAATGGAATAAAAGAAAGCTTCAAACTGTTAAGTTTAATGTCAATAATTTTAGGCTTACTAGAGATAACATGTCATTAGAAGCAGCTAAGATGTTTATGAATTCTATGGTTATTTCTCACATGACTTTCTGTTTAACCACCTGGTCTCAGGCGAGTTCAGTGACCCTAAAACCATTAGAGTCCTTATATAAACGTACACTTAAAGTCTTTGATAAGACATCATTGTCCAATACTGGAAAAATATAAATTCTTAAATTGGGAAAACATGATTAAGTATGCAAATATATGCCTGATGTATAAAATTATTTATGGTTTATCTTCGCCCCCTCTCGGTCAGCTAGTTCATATTAGAACAACTGATTATCGGTTTACAAGAGGTGCATTAAGACAAGAGTGTATCATACCGCTTAGACAAAGTAAATTTAGTCAGTCTGCCTTTTCTGTCAAAGCTGCACAAGAATGGAATAGTATTCCGACAACTTTAAAGGATTTAGACACATATGCTTTATTTAAGGTAAATTGAAAAGTTGGTTAATCAGTACTCAGATTTGTCAACATTAGAATCTCATGCTAGCTATCCTATTATTATTATTTTTATTTTGCTTGATTGTTTCTTAATTGATCGAAACTGTTTAAATAGCTTATATTCTTAGATTCTATTCTTAATATTTTTTTTCTTTAGGTTGACTTGTAACATCTTGTCCAGGGACTATGGATGGAAAATAGCCTTTGGCTAATTCTGGTACATTTACAGGAATGTTTATTAATGTACAATGTCCCTGTCAAACTAAATTAAAAATAAATAAATAAAGAAAGAAATGAGGAAAAATATGTGTGTGAGAGATGGTGAACAAGGAGAAAGGGGGAATGTTGCCAAGTCTGGGTCTGGTTTTAGGGTTTTTCCCTTTGCCTGCAGAGAAGTCATTGTCTGTGATGTGGACAAAGTTTTCAGACCGGACCCGATATGAAGACGTGATACTGAAGCAGATTCAATCTCTCTCACTGACCTTGATTCTGAAGTTGCAGACCCCGTCTGAGTGAATGTTACATGCTTTTCATTTACAGTATTTTACTGTAACCTTTTTTGGCTTTGCAGTTGGGTCACTGTATTTTCACAGTATGCAAGTGCATAATGAATACAGTATACAATTTATTCACCTTTAGTTGTCATTACCATACTTTTTTTTTACATAATTGCAAAATGTGTTTACTTTGTAACTTACAATATACTTTTTTTTTCAATATATGAACAGTTCAGATGCAAAAGCCTCTAAGTGCCATTTGAAATTTTCTTCTAGAATGATCATTTTAATCAAGCTTGTATATTTAAGTTCAGTGATTTCACTTAAATGGCAATGATAATTACCTATTAATTGTTATTTAAGAGAAATTACTGAACTTAAATATACAAGTTTGATAAAAATCATCATTAAAGAAGAAAATTTCAAATGGCATTTAGAGGCTTTTGCATCTGAACTCTTCATATATACTTTGGGTTCTGTCTATGTTGTCCATTTTTTGATGTAGAGCCTGAATGACCTGTAGTGTTTAAAATATTGACTCGCTGCGTGTATGATCTGAAAGCATTGTTTGATTTTGAGCACAGATAAAATGGTTTTGAGGCAATCGTTTGATTTTGAAAGAAGAGTCAGAGGTTGAATGTGAATGTGGTTTGAAAATTTGGATTTGTGTTTAAGGTTTTGAGAAAGTGAACGACACCTTTACAACCTTTTTAGGTCTTTTAAGTTTTGTTTACCAGACAGAGGGACCTCTCAGGTTTCTTTCTTATTTTATTTATTAATTTATCTGTGTTTCGAAGATTAACCGCAGGGTTTGGAACAACATTAGAATGAGTTTTATTTTTTGGTGAACTATCCCTTTACAGTAATCCATTCGTATTTGAATTATATTCACATTTATTATATAAGGGACACAAACAAAATAGGACCATGCTTTATTTTTTGCTAATGCATTTAATTAATTATGACTTATATATTTCATGTCACAATGTCTTTTTTTTTTTGTTGCTTGTTTTAAGGATTTAAGGTGCTATTTATTGTAAGGCTATATGTATACTTTTCTCTCATTGCCACATTTATTTGTTTGTGTTTTTGTGATATGGCATATAATTTGACTTAGAATGGACATTATTGAGTCAGGCTTACCAAATAAGTGTGGTCATTTTATAAGTGTGGTCCTTTTGTAATGAATTGTGAATGTCGGTGACTTCCTCACACCATTCTGCATTTCTCTTGCACAAATACATCCTACATTCAATATTTTTTTAGTATTAGGATATTATGTTTTTATTCAAGTATAATTATTTTATATTCTGAACATAAATCTCTTGACACATCCTCAACAGACAAACAACGAAATCTGGGTTAAATAGCAACTAACCTGCCCTCTATTTGTCCTTCAGACAGGAACTGTAGTTATCTTTCAATTCCGTCGGTATACCTCAATGCCATTGGGTCTGGGTCTAACGTTTATTTCTCAAGCTCACTTGCAATAGGTGGCCTCGGTTCGAGGGCAAATTGGCAGTTGGACGCACTCATGATGCGCTATGGTGACTGTGCTGACACTTGAGATTCTTCTCACGTTCAGAGTGGAGTATTTAATCGGTGAGTCACTATATGCTCTTGTGGTGCAATTGTAGCCGGTTTGCAAATGAAGAAATACATTTGAATCTATAAAGCTTACTGAGCAGTGGAAAAAAAATAATGCATTATTAAAGCATTATATAAATGTGCACGTTGCTTTTAGTTTATAGCCTACATTAGTGACTAAAAACGGTTAAATATAAAGGCACCTGAAGCTGTAGTATTGAGTTTTCATTGAATCTTTGCATAACGAACCGTTGAAGGCACGAATCAAATTCCAAACGCTCTCGCATCACAAGCGCACAACAGGCGTACCACAGGTTATGGCAAGCCGATTGATCATTTTATTTCGTAAATCCAAATAGTCTATTTTAATGTTTCTAACTATTCATCAGATGGTACATAGGCTACTATATAAACTGTATTATTGTTATAGTCTCAAAAATAAATTCTAGTAAATACATCTGAAATAGGCTACAAGTGACTTATAGGCCATAGGCTACTACCTAAAAATGTGTATAGTTAGTAAAACTACAATGGGTAGTAACAACAATTGAAATACACACTATTCTGTGAATAGTTGATAGATAATACAATATATTGTAGCCTACATACAATTCAATGGAAAAACACGGCAAGCAATTTGTTGACACTGTCAGTGGAATAGTTGCTGTAACTGGTAGCAAATGAATTACTATTTAAATAGATAGCCATATGAGCATTGGAATATTTATTTAATAGATACGAGTGAAATAAAATAAAATACCTGTTTTAATATTTGGTTACTAATTAGACAAATACTATAGATTAACAAACATAGGTGAAAGGAATGCCTGTTAAACAGGCTTGCCATAGGATTCCATAAACTTCAAGTGCGATTAACTGTTGTAAGTGTAGCCTATTATACGTAATAAGTCGAAATGAGAGGCACAAACTCTTAGCATTAAGCAGATGGCACGCAACATATATCATGCTCTAAAAACAATCGAGAGCCCTTATCATATCTGTGCCAACTTTTCTTGGTAAATTTTGCTCACAGTGCTGCTGCTCTGTGGGAAGGAAAGAAAGAATTTTATGAAAGGCGATTTAGTCCTTTCATTTGCATGGGCTATTTCCTAATTGAGATCAGTTAGTTAATTGTAAATGGCAGAAAAGTCAACTGAATTCAATTTAAAGGATGGATGGATGGAATAGGGTTCTTGACTCGATATCAGGTTATAGTTTAAAAGCTTAACATTGGACATGTCAAATTATTTCAACTGATGCGTCCACATTACCAGGTGGAAGGAAAGAGGGTGTTTGCGATGGTTATCGACAGCCAGTGAAGCGCAACACGTTAGTGGAAAAGGACAGTCAAAACCCTTGATTAAAATTATTCTGCATAACTGCTGACCGCCTCTAAATCTCATTGCTGAAGTTAAACTGATTAGTCACAAGGCACTTACCAGAGTCAACCTTTGCTCCCTTGTTGAACAGTGCAGATGCTGGGACACCCGGTGCATGTCCTTAAAGACGCATCCAATAATGTCAATCAAATTCCGTGATCACAATCCACATCTCGACATATATACCATAATATCACGTACAAAATGAGAAGGATCGCAAAAATAAACAGTGCAACCAGTATTGCTTTGGTGACTGGGGATATTAAAGACTGCATGATACCGGCGAGCTGGAGAAAAGCACCGAGAGCGCAATGAAGATGATACACGTTCAGGCGCCAGCAGCGTCCGATCCCGTCCGTATCTGCATTGGTGCGTGCCGAGTGGGGAACCTAGAGTGAAACGCGTGGCTCTTCAAAAACATGACACGCGAAAGAGCGCTGCCTCATCTATTGGTGATCTCCCACACCATTTTTGCGCAAGGGGGCACAATAGGCTACTCCGAGGTCCCTTCAGGATACCCATCAACCATCCAGTTCTGCTCGCTCAAGAGATATGATGAGTTAAAAATCAAAAGAAATAAACAAACTCAAAGGCTAATATAGCAAATAAATAAATAAATCCTTTATTAAATACGTATTTTAGTCAGTTGGGTTCCAAAAAAATGTTTTAAAAGCAAATAGGTTATAAAAAATATGCTCTCTATATTAAGGTTTATGTCCTACAAATGAGGCACGTGTCCTTGAATTGTATATTGCCACCAAGCCGTCGACAAAGAAGATAATAGGCTATCACATATGGGCTGTGTTTTATTTTAACATTAATCCCTACTGCGCTAGTGGTTATGTATCCGATAAAGGTGATTTTTCAGGGGGTGAAATTTGTCATTGTAGAAGGCTATTAAATTCATGTTGTAAAGCTGCCTGCGCTTCTCTGGTTGCAACACTTTTTGTTTAACACTAGATGGCGTAATACATCAATTTTCTGGATGCTAGAGACCTAATTGGATAAAAAATAATAATAAATAAATAAATAAATAAATAAATAGAAACACACTATAATCATAACACAACGTTTCTCATTCCGCAGATAATTCTACAATGAAGATGCTGCATCATATAGCTGCTAAAAAAATAAATAAGCTTCTATAATAAAAACTGTCCTTCTTCCGGCCGTAATACGATTTCGGACTAAATCAAGCTCTGTGTCGAGGGCGTGTCGATGTTTTGAATCATCACTCTAATTAGACTACATAGAGAGCCACACTGTTGAATAGCAATTGGTCCGCGCTTCTATCACTCAGAGGGGTGGGTAACATAAGTTACCACTGAACTTTCATTTCCAGAACTTCTAGTACGATTGAAGTCTTGTAAGCCGGTTCAAGAAAAAAAAAAACATTAGCTTTCTTTTAAATTTGACATATTTTCAAAGCAAGATGACTTCATACACGTGGATTTTACTTATTTTTGCAAGTCTTGCGGCAACGAGAGCACAAGGTATGGTCTATCTTCTTAACTGTTATTATTTTGTTTTGGTAACAGCGCTCGTTACATTTCTTGAACTGGGGGCGTAGGTCTAATCCATAAATAACAACGAAAAGAGTCGTCGCTTTTTGCCTCTTCTTAAACGCCCTGCTGCATATAAACTACGTCGTCACTTGTCTAAATCGCTCTTAAATTATATTTGAAGCGAGGAGTTAAAATTAGTGTTCTGGTAGTCTATAGCCAAGTTATTTACTCAGAATGATTATACGGAAAAAGTGGGTTGAATGTTTTTGAAGTGCCAAAGAACATGGGTACATTTTTTTTTCCACACACATGCATGACTCACCAGCCTGTGGGGAAAATGGCTGGAGAACCAACATACAAAGATTGTTTTGGTAACATAACTTCATATTTTTAAAAGTATGTGCAAAAATTAAAGCAGAGCTACAGAGGCTGAGATTATTGATCTTCCCAATTTCAATTTTATAATATTTATTCCCAACTTTATATGTTTTATGTCAGTAATTTAGCTGCAACGCATTGAAAAGCAGAGTTTACATGCTAATTAAAAGTTTCGCTGTAGCCTAATAGTTCCTCTTTGCCTCACAGAGGGGCAAAATGTTAAATTTTTAATAATGAAACAAACTTTATAAACCATACACTGTCTTGTCATTTAAGTCTTTTGTTCGAACTTTAAATACAGTAAATCATACACTAACAGTGCTTGTTACTGGAAGATGCATCCCAAACAGCAACATAGTGTCACCCACATCTGGTATATGTGATACCCATGTGGGCCGGATCTGGACCGACACTTTTTGCTGGCTGGGACAGGTGCGATCTGCCATGTAATGCTATTCCATTAATTTTAATTTTTGTTGTTGTTTTGTGCAAGTTTATGAATGGCAATACATTTATTCTCAACATCGTCAATGATAAAACATAAAAATAACCACTTAAAAACATTTTTTGGTATCTTTGCCATAGCTGCACGCGAGTAGATAACATCTTAGGTCACAGAAAAACCCCTTTTCTACCACAGCACACTTCTTTTTCAGCATTAAGTTGCCTTGATCACAGTGCTCTAAAAATACTTGATCCCATGATGTTGACCCATACTTCCTTGTGGTGGAAGCATTGAGTCTATTAATCTTCCTGAATTTCAAATGTAGATCTTCCCAAATGTATGTTTTATGCAATAGAAGTTTAGTGCATAAACATCTACCCAGATGAAAGGATCTCTGGTTTCAGGTCTGACTCAACCACCAGTCATGGGTTGTGCCATAGACCATAATGAAAACAATACATCACCATAGCAACATAAAGCCACAGGATGCCGTCTCTGATAGAGTGTGGCATGTGGCAAACACGTGTTGTGCAGTGTACATCTTTTTTTTTTTCATATATTTTACAAAAATTATGTTTAGTTTTGCTGTGTATGCTAAGAGATGGGAGGGTTTTTGCTCACAATGTGAATCCAGTACAACACACAAATACAGTATACAATCCACTGAATCCAGTGTATATATTTGGGTGGGGAAATGTAAAATCAAACTGTCAAATTCCAATCATTTTTCTCGATCAGCACTTTTACCCTAGCCTGACTTCGTCATACTCATATTCAAGAAAGAATATGAGTCTGAAACTCCTCCATTGGGCTTTGATTATGAGGCGTGTCGTAACCGAACCAGGAAAAAAAAACCTCTGCACTCAATTGGATAGTCGGTAGACCTACAACCAATCAGAGCAACGCATAAGTCAACTCCTTTGCGTAGCGCTGTTTTCAAATACAGAACGTAGCCTACTTTATTTATTTTAGAAGTTAAATAACGAGTGTTACTTCTTTTACTTCCCCATGAGTGCCACCAAAGGGGAAACCACAACGACCACAAGCTTTTCATTACGTCCCATCTTCTTAACGACCGTCAGAGCCAGCTGATAAGTTACACTTTTCCCAAATCATGTCGGAAGGACGCCAAAAATATCTTTCCAATCGACAAATGCCTTGATTGCAGTTCTCTGTTCGTCTATTAAAATGAATGCGCTGTCTTTTTTTTTTTTTTTTTACAAAAGACGCAACAGCGGAATCTATACATCTCAATTATCCAGCTGCAGTCATCTTTGACAAGCGCACTTTGATGACGTGAGGATTGCGTTACTGAAGACCACCTGTCAATCATCGTATAAAGCCCGCCCTGGCAATTTGATTGGCCCGATGATTTCTGAACCGATCATAATTACTCCTCAATGGATCGAGTCCAGACCGAACTTCCCGTCCAAAAAATGTTGTGGGCGGAGTTCGGGCTGGCATCCAGGCTACTTTTACCCTCTATGAATGAGACTGGTTTATTAAGTTGGTTATTTCTTTCTCACACCCGTGGTTTTAGTTTTTTGAGTTTTCCTATTTGGGGGTCATGCAAGAGGAAAGGGATTAGATGCTTTCTACAATACAACAGCTGTGTCTTGTTACTAACTTGTTGGAACACTTTAAAATTACTTCCTACAGTGCTAATAGGCAGATGCTTGCGTGAAAACGATTACTTTAACTCATTTGAGTTACTTGACTTGAGTTCATTGTGCATCATTATATGGATTTTGCACCGAGATGTGGAGCCACAAGTAAATTGCACAAATCAACTCCAATCTGGCTCATTGGTTTCTTTCTATTTGATCAAATTTAACAATTTGAAATGCTAATGAACTCTTTCTGAAATTTAATTTATGACCTCTTTCTGAAATGTTATTTTAATGAGCATTTTGCTGTGTTTGGAGTAAATGTCTAATGCTGAGATATAATATACATTGCCTCAGTGAATCGAATGAGTTCTGTTGAATTGGCTGGATTCATCTTCTATTGACAAGTCTTTGCAGCATCCAGTTTTTTTTTGTTTTTTGTATTCTTAGTTTCAGTTTAAAATATTTGATTATTTTGAATGGGATTAAACTGGCCATAAACCACTAGAGATGGTTTCTAACAAAATATTAAAATATCTGTTTTCTTGCAGATTTAGACCTGTCTCATGCTTTTGATGATGATGACTGTAAGTACTCTATATTCACTATATATGGTCATTTTATGCATGCCTATTTTTGTTTGTTAAATATTTGTAATGCAAAGTAAACATATAAAATGTAAATATTATAATATAATATATAATTTTTTTTCTTTCCAAATTGGGGTTAAAATTTTTACTTACCCTGCCAAAATGGTCACTGGCCCCACCAAAAAAATAAATAAATGAGTAAATAAATAGAAAAAGTTTTGTTGTTGTTTTAACCTTTGTATTATATTGTATTCTAAAAAAGAGAATCAAAAGAGAAATCAATTCAGTACTCACGATCTCTTTTCTATGAACCCAGAGAGGCGGTATTAACAATAAAGGGATAGCTCACCCAAAAATGTATTACATAATTCCATAAAAATAACTGTAGAATATTAAAGCCACTAACCACATATTAAATTATAGGCCTATCTTTATTTATTTAAATGAATATCAGGTAATACTTGTTTAAGGTCCAATTCTCATTATTAACCTGTTGCTTAGCATGCATATAGGATACTAATTGTGTATTATAAAGCACATATTCATGCCTTATTCTGAATTGCCACATTCTACATCACTAATCCTACCCAATACCTAAACTTAACAACTACCTTAAAGGGTTAGTTCACCCAAAAATGAAAATTAAGTCATTAATTACTCACCCCCATGCTGTTCCAACCCCGTAAGACCTTCGTTCATCTTCGGAACACAAATAAAGATATTTTTGATTGAATCTGAGAGCTGGATCAGTCCTAGATAGACTGCCTAAGGGACTGGCTCTTGACGGCCCATAAAGTCATTAAAGAAAAGGTTTAAATATTCCATGTGCCTACAGCGGCTCAATTATAAGTTTATCAAGCGACGAGACTACTTTTTGTGCGAAAAAAACATAAATAACGACTTTATTCCACTATTCCATTACTTCCTTATGGGCGCATGCGCGAGAACTGAGACGAGGACGTTCTCATTAGTCTACTTCTTGTTACCGGCTGCTCACCGCTTAGGAGTTTTACCGCCACCTACCGTATAAAATGATGATCCATATACAAGGCGCTCCGGATTATAAGGAACACTGTCGTTTTTTGAGAAGATTAAAGGCTTTTAAGTGCACCTTATAGTGCGGAAAATACGCAAATTGAAAAGCGTATGTACAGCGCGCATCTTCCTCTGCTTGTAAACAGAAAGTTTTGCGCTTCCAGCTATATCAGCACATCATCTTATACGGTAGGGGGCGGTAAAACTCCTAAGCGGTGAGCAGCCGGTAACAAAAAGTAGACGAATGAGAACGTCCTCGTCTCAGTTCTCGCGCATGCGCCCATAAGGAAGTAATGGAATAGTGGATTAAAGTCGTTATTTATGTTTTTTTCGCACAAAAAGTAGTCTCGTCGCTTGATAAACTTATAATTGAGCCGCTGTAGGCACATGGAATATTTAAACCTTTTCTTTAATGACTTTATGGGCCGTCAAGAGCCAGTCCCTTAGGCAGTCTATCTAGGACTGATCTAGCTCTCAGATTCAATCAAAAATATCTTTATTTGTGTTCCGAAGATGAACGAAGGTCTTACGGGGTTGGAACAGCATGGGGGTGAGTAATTAATGACTTAATTTTCATTTTTGGGTGAACTAACCCTTTAATAATTATTAATAAGCAGTAATTAGGAGTATGAGGCAAAAGTCGTAGTTAATGTGAGAATTTGACCCTAATCTAAAGTATGACCGAATATTTCTTGTTTTCGTTTGCTACTGTCTAACTCACAAAAAATACCCCTGGATCTTCCTCAACTCTCATTGGTTTATCTGGCCTATTCTACACTTATAATACTGAGACCAGTGTGTACAAGCGTCATGCAAAAATAAAGGTTTAAAGTAGGGCTGTGCAAAAATTAATTGCGATTAATCGCTTCCAAAATAAAAGTCTGCGTTTACATAATATATTTGTGTGTGCTGTATATAATTATTTTGTATATGTAAATACCTATGCATGCATGTATATAGTTAAGAATTATTTGCACTTAAATTCTGTGTGTGTGTGTGTGTGTATATATATATATATATATACATAATCTATATTATATAAATATATTATATATGAAGAAGAATAACACATTTTCTGAAATATATACATGCATGTGTGTGTATTTATATATACAAAATAATTATATAAGCACACACAAATATATTATGTAAACACTGACTTTTATTTTGGATGCGATTAATTGCAATTAATTTTTGCACAGCCCTAGTTTAAAGTAACATGCGACTGTTAATGCTGTAGCCTATTCGTAGTGACCTCTGATCAATTTATTCTGTGTGTTTCCTAGAATGGCAAGTTTGTGTGATCTACAACATGCACACAAGTAGTAGGCCTACTGGTATTATATAACAAACTAAATACATGTTTGAAAAAATTACAGATTTGTAAATATATTTAATTGATATATTTTTTTAAATCACTAAATATTTAGGATTTTTTTCACAACTACGTCAGTATAGCTGCTCGACTCATGTGTCAGTCACTTCAGGAAGGTGCCACAACATACGGCGACATGTTCTGCAACAATATCAGTGGCTCTCACAAGTTTCAGTGGCACAGTGGTCATCCTCCTCTGTGAGCAAATGGCTTCTGTGAGTAAGATGCCACTAATGTTAATACTGGTAGGGGGCGCATAGAAAACAGAGCGCGAGTACTGAATGGAGTTCTTTTTCACATCTTCTTGGGCTTGAATATTCATGGTTAAACATCACATGAATGTTTAAATTGACAGAACTTGAAAACCTGTGCAAATGATAACCTTTCGCACGTAGCACTGGCCCGATCAGCCATGTGACAATTCCATCACCAAGCGTCTTTCACGCTGGCCCCGGCCATCCTGCAGTCCTTATTATGAAGCTTGTGTCCACCTTATTTTTTTAACGTGGAAGCAAGCTATTCTGCGAATGTGCGAGACTTGAAGCATTAGCCGCTGTAAGGATATAACGAGAAGAATAAAGTGCGGCAATTGGTTAAACTATTTGCGCTATTAATCAATGTGTCTATAATTATGACAATACATTAAAATAATAGGGTAAGAAATACCAGTTTGCAATTTCAAGCAGCATTGCAAGCTTTTTTTGTAGGCTACAGCAAAAAATAACTGGAAGCGGATTACAATGTAAGCCAGGCACATTCAATTTACAAATGGCCGCACACACTCTTGCGTAAAAAAATAAGGTGGACTGGATAAAGTAATTTTTGAATCAAATGTGGAATACCATACTTCCATCATGTTTATATCTTAACTATTCCGTTATGTCACTCATATTGTACTTTCAAACAATTAACAATATTATGATCTTAAGCTCCTGCAAAACCAACGGTGAAACCAGCGGTGAAACCAGACCCACCCAAAAACCCAGATCAAGGTAATGGTCATTTTTTGTGTGTTTGTTTTGCATATAGCAATGGAATTTACATAATTTTACAGTTGTATGGACCATTTAAAGCACACAATGACTAACATGAGTGCTAGGCCTACCTAATTAATAGTTTTGCCTTGCTCTTCTAGGATTTGATCTGTTAGATGCCTTCGATTCAGGTAAGACTGACTCGACTTATCAAATTGCGTTTCTGTGTGAACTTCTTTGATTTGGAATTCAGTGAATTCTTTGGTTACTGTATTTAAATAAACCTAAACTCAAAGTAAAATATGTCTTTATGATCATTGTTTATTGTACACAGACCCCAAAAAACCTGCTGTGGTCCCACCCAAATCAGGAGACGGTAAGAAATCATCATGCTGGGGTGTTAATGTAATTTTATGTATAAAGTTCATGGGTTACACTTTATTGTTAGACAGTGGGGGCCCTCAAAATGACTTGATCATATTTAGAAAGAGGCTAAAACAAAAACAACAAAAAATCTAGATATTTTGAATATACATATTATGCATCTTTCTAGCTTTACCAAGATCTAAAATATTTTGTTGGGTAGAAAAAGTGAGTGGTGGTGGGGTCTTGAAGTTAAAAAGGTTCAGTTCTTCTGAGATCTCGTTGTTACAGTATAATTAAACATGTAATATTAATGAATAACATGTACCTACTAGGGTTAGGATTAGTTTGGTTTAGGGTTGCATGCAATTATGGGTAACACTTTATTTTAGCTACTATACTCTACTCTAATACTAATAAGTAAGGGTTATCACAATGTCAAGCACATGTTACATGTTGTAACTGTAGTAATAACAATAAATGATGCATAATTATATTCAACTAACCCTAAACCAACCCCTATTCCTAACTCTAATCCTATAGCAAGTACATGTAGTTTTTTTTTTTACTCTGTACTTAAATGTAAAATTACACTATAGCATGGACACCTTAAAGGGCACCTATTATGCCCCTTTTTTGTCCCCAGAATGTATTTGTGAAGTTTCAGCACAAAATACCTAATTATTAGTTAATTTATTATAACTATTTTAAAATGTCATTTTTGGGGCCTGTTTTAAAAAGAGCTGTTTTGGTCTATATATTACCTTAAATGTATGAGCTGCATATTCCCGCCCTGCCTTTGGATGAGGGAGTCACTTGCATATGGCTGTCGGTCTAAGCAGAATGGATGAGAGTGAGAGACCCGCTGTCATTCAGCCGTACATGTTTGAATCGGAATATATAAATAGTCTCTGATCAGACCCAGATGACGAAGAGACTCATAAACGCGAATGAGAATGGACCAGGACGTCTCGGTATGGTTATTTGATACATTTATGTTTATAGAGTTGTAATCGCGCCCCCTTTGCAATTATGGATGTGCAAAACACACACGCAGACACACACAAACACTATGCATTTATTTACATTACTTGTCATACAGGTGCTTCTGTGGCAAATGTGAGAAGATGGCAAGAAAATATATGCAGTTTTTAATACAATATCTTAATATATATATATATATATATATATAACACTACTACAAACATTACACACTATACAAACAAGGTTTAAATTATATACACAGACATCCTACGACAACAACAACTTTAGATGCATTTGTTGTTGAATTGGCTGACAATCGACTGAAAAGACTATTTGCTCAAAAATCATAAAATACACTTACTGTTACTGGAGGTAATTGACGTTCACAAAACAGTCAGAAAATGATTCACTCAAACTATTCACATAAACTTACTTACGAAGGAAAGGCGCCACTTAATACAATAATACAATACAATACATCCACTGTGTTTTAGTGTGTTTTCAGGTTTGGGAAATAAGTGAAAACTACGATGTATGTCATTATTACATCCCATCCCACAACAGAACACTTATGATTCTAGACATTACCGGCTGTCGTTAAAACAATGGAGAATGGTGTACAGATCACCGAGGGCGGGGTCGAGGCCACAACCATACTGTCAATCAAACCCCTTTCTCACTTTCTACGTCACAAAGAGCTGAATCTTAGAACAGCTCGTTCTGAGACAGTGGAGATGATTTATTGAGATTGTAAAAAAAAAAAAAACACCGTGTGGATTTTTATCATTCTAGGGTGGTTTTGCTCACACACTGCCAACACACATTTATGTTCAAACACCATGTAAAAGTGAATTTTGCATAATAGGTGCCCTTTAAAATAAATTGTAACCCAATTATGCAGAATTTACTGTGACTAGAAAGTTCATGTGTAATTTGTAACAATGACACTGTAAAATAAAGAGTTAAAAGTTTATGTAGTAGTGTTTGTTTAACTGACCCATTGTGCATTTATTTTAATTGGCTAATTTAAGTTGATTTATTACTTGTTTGTAAATGAATGTGTTAATACAAATTAATGTGTAGTTTCTTTTTATTGTATTTGCAGATAAAAAGAATCCATCTGGAGGTAAAATATACACACACGCACACACACACACATCTTTATGTTTTTAAATCTGTTGTTTTTATACAGAAATCAACCTACTAATGCAATGCAAAAAAAATAACATGATGATTTAATTTTCAGATGAATTTGATCTGTCTGATGCATTTAATCCAGGTAAAAAAAATGATGCTGCTTTCTCTGACATTGTAAATTCTGGTTTTGTCTCGTTTACAATCTTTTTCCCCCAGTATATAATTTTTTGATTTTTATTAAGAGATTTTCAATTGCTTATGCGGTTTACATTTGAGGCACTCTATATTCATTATTCATTGATACTCAGCTGGTAAATGTAGCTCTTTTATGGCTATTACAATTGCTAATAGTTTTTTTTCTGTTCTGATTGTTTTAAATGTGCTATTCAACGAGTAACATCATGCCATAGGTTTTCTTTAAATAAACACACACCCACCTTAAAACATTCTTCAAAATATCTTCTTTTGTATTAAACATAGATACTTTTTCTATTTCTACAGATCTTGATCCCAAAAAACCTGTTGTCCCACCCAAAGAGAGAGGAACTGGTATGTTTCTGCCAACATGTTTGGGTTACACTTTATTTTACAGTACGTGTGCTCACAGTGTAGTTACATTAGAAAGTACTGGTAATATAAGGTAACAACATTGGTTAGGTTTAGGTTCAGGGTCACTACCTAGTTGCTGTATGTACATGCAAAAACAGGTCCAAAAATAATTTCTACCCATGATTGTTTGCATCTGTTAGGGTCTTGCATATTTACACTATGTGAATCACTCCATATTCCATATAGTGTGCTGTGTTTTATTACTATATAGAAATTAGTAAATGTGTTTACAAGTGACCAATTGGATTGGATGGCAAAAAGGGCAGAATTATGTCATCAATTGTTTATTTATTTTGTGTGTATATCGAGAAAATCATAGTAATAAAACGCTTATCTTCTAAATGAGAATTTGTCATCATTTAAAAACACGCTAGATTATAAATAAATTTTATACTAACATTATTACAAAAAGCCACAAACTGAAATTTTGACTTTTGTTACAATTAAAGATTATGTGCATCAGGGGCAAAATTGCTTATTTAGATAAGTATATATGTAGTTAATGATAATGTTGTTGTTTTTTTTTTAACGAAAATACATTAATTGAATATTTGTTTAAATTCACTACACTTAAGGTAGCAGTCTTTATTCAAAAACATAATTTCGTTTAGGTATATCAACACTTTAAAAAGTCTGAGGAACTGAAATATTGCTGAACCCAATCAGATTCTTATGTGCATTAAACTGCTATTCTTGTGAAATGTTACATTAATGTTTAATATAGGTGGTGGAACTTTTGATGACAAAGACCTTTTCGGTGTGAGTGACGGGGGTGAATACACGCCCGATAAAGGTCGAATTGGAGGTTTGTGTCAAGTTTTACTCCTTTTTTTAAAATCAGTTTTTCAGCTTGATTTAGGACTGTAAGTTGATTTGAAGTTTGCATCTCTGTTCATAGCAGAAGATCAAATCCATAGTTAAATAAACAGAGGTCACCCAATTTAATTGTATGAAAAATCTCCTAATAAACATCATATAACCATTACTACTTAGTAGTCATTTTCTAAATAAAAAGTTAATATAAAAGATGTTCCTTATTGTCCATATGTTACTTTAGATAATTTTTTAGAGAAAAATAGAACCAACAAGGTAGCCATAAAAAAATTAATAATAAAAATATTATTTTATATTCAGCGTGTTTTGCTAGGGTTTCCTGTGGAAGCTTGTTTCCACCTCTGAATAAAGAATAAAAAGCCAGTTTGTATCTTACAATTCAGACTTTTCTCAGAAATGAATATAAACTCGCAAGTGGGAGTTATGACTGTTTTATTCAGAATTGCGAGTTGTATCTCACAAATCGAATCGTTTATATCGCACAATTCTGAAATGATGCAAGCCAAGGTCAGAATTGCGCGATAAAAAGTCGCAATTATCTTTTTTTTTTTTGTATCTGGTGTTGAAAACGAGCTTCCATAGTTTCACATGGGTTTCTATGACTTAATATAATTGCTAAATACAATCATGATTACCTAAAATTGGCAACATATGTTACTAAATTTTGAAGGTAGGTGACTGAAATAAACTAAAACTAGCTAAATGTACAGTACTGTCTGTGAAGTCTGTCAGTGCTGTAAGTGAATCTGACTCTGGTTTTTGGTTTTGGTTAAAGGAGGAGGAGCAGACCCTGGCTATGATGATCAAAGCGGTATTTATTTCCGTATTATGCCAAATGTTTACCCTCTGGTTCATAATTGTTTGTTTTTATCTACTGTACCAAAACATTTACATATTTAATACGTCTTCATTTGCTGGGTGATAATTTGAATGTTATTTTCTCATTAGGCGGCCCTTCTGATCAACCTCAAGGTAAATATTATTTTCACTAATTTTATTTAAATAGTCCTTAAGTTACATCTATCAGTAATTGTTTTGGAAAAACTGTCGGCCACAAAATGAAGGCTTTTATGGAGTTTACCTAAGGATAAATTGTCCACTGAAATATAAAGCTGACATGCCTCTGGGAGGTGTTTTTGTTTCAGCTCTTTCATGCTCTATTTTCTAGCTGTTTGTCCTTACAGAAGCTTTGTTTACTTGCCAGTGTTGTCTTTCTCAGTGGAGTTAGCAAGTTCAGTTTTTTTTTGTTAGTTTTTTCAAGAATGAGTCTGACCACAAAAGCTAAAATGTTTCGCTCTAAATATTGAGTGAGACCATGGAAACAGTGGCAGTCTGATGACTAACTGTCACACAGTTCTTTCATAAGGACAGGGCGGTCCAACAGACAAAAACAATTGTGCGCAGTACATGTTGAGGTTTTTCCACTAGGTGATTGTTTTCTTCTGTGTTGTTATAGTAAATGGGTGGTGAATATCATATGCAGTGCCTTTAAGTGTCTGAGCACTGATAGATTTGACTGTTCATTCTGCCTCTGGCTGTGACCTAAATCTGTGCTTCGATTGCCTGTTGTTGCAGATCTAAACCAGCAGTGGCTCCAGCTTATCAAGATGCTAGGCGATAATATACCAGAAGGCCTCAGTGTCTGGATTGCCGGGTTTTTACAAGTAGTAGAGCCCCTGCTAGAGCAGTTTCGGGGACTTCTGAATGTAACAGAGGAAAAGGCAGAGCTTTAAATGTCTTGTTGTAGTAACCCTCTTTGCTTGTGTTGGGGTGAAATGATTTTAAACATTGTTTACATGGTTTGGTTTTAAGGCTGGGGCTGCTGGTGGTCATGGTTTATTGATGAGATGCATATTTTGGTCGTGATCAAGATTAATCATATTGGTTTTGAAAATTTGGCAATATGGAATTAATTGTATTGTATTGCTGACTGGTTTGACGGTTGACTTTTTATGTTGGTAACTAAGGATTATTAAAAGCCTATATACACTTCCATTAAAAAGTTTGGGGTCAATAAGTCTGTGTTAAGAAATGTTTCTTAAGCACCACATCAATCTCCAGTATCATCATGATCCTTTAGAATCATTCGAATATGCTGCAGTTATGGCTGTTGGACTTTCAGCTTTGCATCACAGTAATAAATTACATTTTGAAATGTTACAATAGAAAAGTTTGTCCAATATTATGGTTTTTACTGTACTTTTGATCAAACAAATGCAGTCTCGGCGAGCATAAGAAGCTTCCTTAGTCTGACCCTAAACTTTTGAACAGCAGTGTATATAATAAATCTGTTGGTGGATGCCTCTAATAGTTGGTTGTTATGAATATGGTAGCGCGTACGAATAAATTATATTGATTTTGATTGTGAAATAGAGAATACAATAGTGATACAGTTATTATTTTAGATCAAAAAGAGGGGTGTGAATTCCAATAGATGCTATCTGTTTCCTTAGGACATCCTCAATGACTTCTGGTCTTTTTTTTCATGAATTTTACATTTTATGCCAATGAATAGATCTGCGACTGGTTTTGCCTGGGTTTGAGAAGGCGTATTTCTGCTCGGTTTTATGGAATTAACCCCGAGGCCATACTGAGCATTCCATTGTTTGCTTCCTTTTCCTCTGCTCATGGAAGCCATCTTATTGTCTATTTTCTTGAAAAAAGAACATTTGAGGTTGAAACATTGTAGCACAATTCTCTTGGCTAAAACTTGACGTACCAGAGGATTGAAACTGGCAAATGTTTCCCCTTGTGTGCGTCACAACCGAAAGCTTTAGCACATGCAGGGATTATGCCATCCTAAATCTCAAAGAGAGCAGAGGCGCTATAGGGATTTTTTTTTATTTTTTTTTTTACCACAGATACTGATGTTTCATCTAAAAATAGACTCTTAAAAATCTTATTGGCATCAATGGTTCCATGAAGAACATTTAGAAACTTTCAATTGCACAAAGAGTTGTTTAGACACGCACTCAAGAACTGTTCACTATTATTGGCGAACTGAAACTGGTTCTTCTACTGCATTGTTGCGACCCTCCAAACGACCCCTCCCCCATCCACACGCACATTTTTGTAATGTTTATTTACCACATAGCAGGCATTCATCCTATTGTAAGAGCATGGTAGTTTACATTAACGGCTGTTAATCTATTGAATATTTCAATGTTGTCTGGTTTTGTTTTTCATGATAGATGCCTTTAACATTGGTATTGTTTGGTGTCCATTTTGATGTATTGGTTCTCAATTGTAGTATTTCAGGGTCACATTTTTCTTTTCTTAAGTTTATCTGGTTTCTTTTCCGCAGAAGTGGTTATTTTCTTTTTTAAGCATTATAGCAACTTTTTGTGTTCTCTTTCCTTTTAATAAAGTGAAATGTGAGAATTCTCTCTGTTTGATTCATATCATAGTCTCGCACAACTGCAGTGACTAGCATATCTTACAGGGTAAACCCCACCAACAATGGCATTGTAAGAATGTATTGAGCATGTGCGAAGAACACTCAAGCTCATATATTATCTAGCTGCCTAAAGTTTAGGGAGGTAAATCTGCATAGCTTTAGATCTGAAACTACAGTATTATTTAGGAGGTTAACTTCAAACATTAGTTTGGAAACCTCTATTTATTTAGTCAGTTGAACTCCTGCATGCATGGTTTGCATACACACAAAATGGGTGTGCAGGCAACGCCCAGCATGTTTAAACCAAATTTCATGACACAGTTCATGACTTATTGGAGCAACTCCGAATTTAGTTAGCCTAATCAAAATTGCACAATGTCAGATACGTAGTTTACTTCCAGTGTTATGAACCTCCTCTTTCTGTCTGAATAGAGTTAAATAAACCTTATTATTTAGCAATTGGATGATTTTCAATGCATGCTGTAAACTTCATTTGTTGTTATTGCTTATATTGTCAAGTTGAAGAACAATATGTACAGGAACATTTGCCAAGTGTTCTGTGGAGAATAGGAAACTCCTGTTGCACCCCCTGGTGGCAAAAACATCACAGTTTGCTTGTCCTTATGTTAAATGCCCATGTCTTATTAGTTTTGCCATCAAGCTCCAGCTAATGACTGATATAGCCATTACAAAAATATGTATAACGTATTGTACACTTCAGAAGCAATTTGAAACTAGCCCTTGTCCTTGTGTTCTGTCCCTTTAAATTGATCCCACAGGCGGAGCCATGGCTGCCATCATCAGTTCTGTGGGTGTTGCTCTGCTAGGTGCGGCCTCAAGTTACTTTGCCTATCAGAAAAAGAAACTGTGTTTCAAAATACAAGGAGGTGAGTTCAACACTTTTATCCAAGATTCTGAATCCGTATGCAAGCACTAGCCAGCCTGGATATGATTTATGTTGCTTGCTTATCAAAGCTGTTCAAAAGAGAAGAGGAACAATACTTCACAAATAAGCTGTTTAACTTGACAATCATACTTTTTTTACTCAAACTATTTGACCTCTTTTAATAACTTGTTCCACAATTATATATAAATGCTTTCGGAAGCCACAGTACATGCTTAGCTCAACAAACACAGAGGCTCTTGTAGAGGAAGTGGGGGTTGGGTGCTTGACGTGGCGTTCAGTTTAACTGCTCCGCTTGTATTACAAAAGCCCTCACTGCATCAACAGGTGGCTCTGTGGCGCAATGGATAGCGCATTGGACTTCTAGGCTACACTTGAAGAAGTGATTCAAAGGTTGTGGGTTCGAGTCCCACCAGAGTCGCATTTTTTTGAGAGAGTGCTGAAAAGAGGCTAACACAAGTAGCAGTCTTTTGTCCAAGTGTGAATGGTGTTAACAGAACTTTTAGTGCCTGCATTTTTAAAATACCATAAAATCGACTTAGTTGTTTTTAGTTACTATGTCCTTCCAACAAAAAAGAAGTAGTTGTGTTGATGTTGTATTGCAAAACAATTTTGCTGCTATTGAGCTGGGATAGGGACAGGTTTGGTGGTTAGGTTTAAGGGAAAGGTCAACCGAGTAATTGTAGATGTAATTACAGAGATTAATTACAACTGTAATTATATGTTTTTTTAAATATTACTTTGTAAAAATATGTATGTACTCAATAAGTGGATTGTATCAAATTATTAATTAAAATGTTAGTACATAGTAGTTAAAGATACCTAATATAAACTGGGACTCAAAATTGTTTCATGAGATAAGCTAAAAGTACATTTTCTTACAGGTGCGGATCCAGAGAGTGGCAAAAACATGGGTACTCAGTCTGAACCACAAGGTAAGCATGATAGTGCTAACCTAGCGAATTTAAGAAAATGTAATTCTGACCCCACGACATATGCCGCGGGGTCAGAATTACAGTTATTTGTTATTTGTGATTGTTTCAATTAATTAACATGGATACCAACCACAAATTTTGTTATGGTAGTGTAAGAATTATTTATTTTATTATTTATTTATTTTTATTTTTTTTTTTAAGTTGAAATGATTACATAATCTTTTGGAAAACATTCTAATATTCTGGTTTGGTGCACAAGAAACAGTTGTGCTACTTAATATTTTTTTGCGGAAATGGTAATTCTTTGAATAGCGAGTTCAAAAGAATACCATTTTTTTGTCATTTGTTACAATTGAACGCATTGTTGCTTAATCAATTAATTTAGTTTTTTGGGTGTGTGGTTTATATATAGTCATCAGTATTAAATTATAGAGTTTTGTTCAAATTAAGTATTCAGAAAATAAGTATTTTATTTATTTATTTATTTATGACATATTTTCTTAAAAGATAATAGTTTGTTTTATATGGATTTCGTGCTTTCTGATGCAGCTTTTAAAGTTTCACCAAGTAGATAACAATTTTAATATTTTCTCCCCCAAAGTTCTCAGCAACCTGCTCCGTTCATCGTAACCGCAACTGGATCTGCGCACTGAAAGAAAATGTACATCTAGCATGTCCAGTTATGGAGAGCCTAACCCTGTGGGAAACATCAGTTATATGAAAGACTGGTTATTGGACAATTAAAAAAAATGTGTGTTGATTTTATTTTTCATTGGGTTCTCTAAGTTGTAATGCATTTTTTTTTCTGTTCTCTAAGTTGTAATGGATTTTTTTTTCTGTATTCAACATTTTTCTTGACTAATTGTTTTTCTTTGAAACAGTTGAAACAGAAACAGTAATATGTCACTTATGGTTTTATATGTCACTTATGGCAAGTGCTAAAGTAAGATACTGCACTTTAAATGGACAAAGTTGTTACTTGAAGTCATCAGACAATGGATGGATGGATAAGATGATGATGTATGCTGATGAATGTCGAACTGACTGGTGACAAAAATGCCAACTAAAATAAAATTGACATGGAATGAGTTTAAAATGATGCTGCCAACTCACATTTTCTATAATTAAATTAATTTAAATTGAATATAAATTTGAGAGTAAAAGGTAAAAAGTTTTTTTATTATTATTATTATTATTAACCGTTTTAGCCATTGTAAATACTGCTAAAGCAAGATGTACTGCACTTTTAGACTGGCCATTTTATACGCACAAGTCAACTTGCATTTAATGTGTTTAATTGAAATAACTGAAAGAGCCTTGATGATTTATTGCCTGCGAGCCAGTTTTTTTTTTTTTTTTTGCTATTTTTCTTTGAATATACATTTGGTTGTTCTTCCCAAAATAAAGCCATGGTTCCTGGATTTAGAACATTGTTCTGTATTTTGATTTTGCTTAGCCTTGCCTACATTAACAGAATATTTTGATCTTTAATTTGGCGCCGATTGTTGTCTTTCATTTCCTTCAATAGCCTACGTTAATGAACCAAATAGATATGCTAATGGTAGATGTCATTATATAATAGCCATTCTCATTGTAGCCCTATGTCCAATAGTAGCGGGGGTGGAATGACCGGTGTCGCAATACCGTTATATCAAACTTTTTTTTTTCCACTTGTCAGTGAAGGTTGACTGAAGGCAATGCTGCATGCTGTTTGAAGAAAGACCTACTTTTTCGTTTTCATCATTTGTTTTAAACACTGCAATTTACTTTATAGCACTTGTTCCATAATATTTCCCCTCGTTACTCCGAAGAGCGAAATAAAAATCAGACTGAGAGAAATGACGGGTAAGCTGACGCCTCTAATATGTTTAGCCTACGTCCAAATGTCTCTAGAACGAGTAACGTGTATTTGAGCTGACAATTATTAACTGGGATTTTACATAATCCAACGAACTTGGATATAATAGGAGTTTTGAGATAAATTGTTTATTCAAAGTGCTGTCAATAAGCACTCTATTTGCATATCAAGCCTGTTCATTTCAAGTTCAGTCAGTGACCATGTCCATGCCATCCAGTTGTGTCATTTTGCCATCTGCTCCTTTTGCCTGCCAGGGAGTTAGAAGGACCTTGGAAAACAATTGAGATGATATCTTGTGTAGGCTATATTAGTAACTAGTTGACAATGGCGGCTGAATGAAAGTCATTGAGAGAACTCGAAACCATGTTTGTTTTTTGAAACCCACGTTCTCTTACGAGAGGTTCTCTCGTATTGCGTAAGCTAGCTTACGCTACGGGAAAGATTCATCTTTGCTGAGAAGTTGAAGCCAAAAAATTATTCCATAATTTTGTAATCATTGTCAACGCAGTCTCTTCTGAGGCAGACCATGAGCGGGCTAGCTAGCGGCTCATTGGTTCGCTCAGAGAGAATGCACGAACCTATGGGAGAGCGGCGCTGAGTCCGCGGCCAATGAGCGGACGGCGCTCGCTTACTGCGTCACAGCCCGCCAAAAGGGGCGTGGCTACAGTGTATAAAGGTCGCTCTCCCAGCTCGTTCGTTGATTCTTGTTCATTCAGCGAGCTACACGCATCCGCTGTTCTGGGAAGAAGCCGCCGTCGTTGAGAAGGCACCGTCTAGCGAGCTCCGGAGTCTGAGGAAGCCGGCCGTCTGCCACCTTCAGCCGCCCAGCAAGCTAGCGCCATCCGACGCGTATCCTTTCTTATTATTCCTGCTAAAAGAGCACGAGCGTCTTTTTAAAGATGCCTCGTAATTCCTGCGGCTCTTGCCGCTCTCCGCTCGAGGATGGAGACCGCCACCCCATCTGCGCTCTCTGCCTCGGAGTGGAACACGCAGAACTCGCCCTCGCCAACGGAGGATGCGACCACTGCGAGGACCTGCCGCTGTCAACCCTGCGGGCTCGACTACAGGCGGTCAAAACCGCTCCAGCGCCGCCTCTAACTTCGCCGCGGAAGAAGAAACGCCGCTCCCAGAGGCCGCCGGAGCCCTCTGCGGATCCATGTGGGCCGCCGCCGCCGCCCACCGACCGCTCTCCCTCTCCGCCCCTGCCGGACTTACAGTTGCCGCCGAGTGGCCGCTCTGTCGCCTCCGAGGACACCGCGGATGAGAAGGACTCTTGTTCGCTGCACGCTTCGGACAGCGAGGATTGGTCGTCGATCGGCTCATCGACTAGAGAGTCTGCGGGGACCCGCGCCGGCATCGAGGAGGAACTAACGCGCCTCCTTTCTCAGGCCGTTAGCCGCCTGGGTCTCGAGTGGTCTCCTCCCCCTGAGCAACCACCGAACCGCATGGATGGAAAGTTCCTGCACCGGCGCCCGGCCCCCGCTTGCAGCCGGGCTGCACCCTTCCTGCCTGAGCTTCACAGCGAGCTCACGAAGTCCTGGAATGCTCCTCTCTCGGCTCGTAATCGCTCTGATGTGTCCGCTTCGCTGCGCTCAGTGGACGGAGCTGCCGAGAAGGGTTATACTGCCATGCCGCCCGTCGAGGACTCGGTCGCCGCTCATCTCTGCCCGCCCTCTGCTAGATGGCGGTCTGCTCATACGCTTCCCTCAAAAGCGTGCAGAGCGACCTCCAACTTTCATGCCCGCGCCTATTCCGCCGCCGGTCAGGCCGCTTCAGCGCTGCATTCGATGTCTGTCCTCCAGGTGCTCCAGAGCGACATCTTGTGTGAAATGGCGAGCAGCGGGAGGCAACCGCTCGTCCTTTCGGATCTAAGAAGCGCTACGGATCTTTCCCTTCGCGCCACTAAAGCCGCCGCACAAGCTCTAGGGAGATGCATGGCCGCCCTCTGTGTCGCCGAGAGACACTTATGGCTCACGCTGACCGACATGGGAGAGTCAGAACGTGCCGCGTTCCTCAACGCGCCTATTTCCCCCACCGGGCTCTTCGGATCCGCCGTCACGGGCATCGTTGACCGCTTCTCCGAAGTTCAAAAAGCGACTCAGGCCATGAACTTGTTCCTGCCCCGCCGCTCGAGTTCTTCGACGGGCCGTTCTCACGAGCCGCCTGCCAGAACCACACAGCAGCGCCCGCCTCAGCAAGCTCAGCAGCCCCAGCGTAGACAGGGCGGCCGCCCTCGCTCTCGCTCAGACAGCCGCCGCAGACAGCCTCCGCCCCGGGGGCCTCGACCCAAGATCACGCTGAAGCCTGATCAACAGAAGTCTGCCTAGCACAGCTGAGAAAAAGACGGTTTTCTCCCGCTGCGGCCGGACCGCCGTCAAAGCTTCGCCCACTGTTAGTCCCCGTCTCACCGCTGACTACAGTAGTGTTTACCGCCACAAACAAGCCGGTTTCCCTGCCCGCTTGCGAGCGACTAAAAGCCGTTTTCACGGCTACCCAGAGAGTTCACAAAAAGAGCATAAAAGCCTCAAGTGTAAAAAATGTGCCCACAACCTTGTGCTCACGTACACACACAAGCACTTTATGCCCAGGGTCTCTCGCAGAGCCCATTCTCACGGAGCGTGCACTTTCCGCTCCAGCAGCAGAGAACATAAGCACGCCTACGAGCCCGTGCGCGTGTCCCCCCTCTGCCCGCTCTGTCTCAAGGCCCTTAAACTCCTCTCTGAGTGTAAGTCCCGTTGCCTTCCACATTATAAGCGAGCCCACACCCAGTGTCCAGCCCGCAATGTGCAGCAATCAGGGCGAAATCGCCATTCAACCACTAGCCGTATGCTACAAAGCGTGGGAAGCCATCCCCGGCATCTCCCCGTGGGTTTTAAGCATAATAAAGAATGGTTATCGATTACAGTTTCGTCGCCGCCCGCCACGCTCGCGCGTGCGGCTCGAATCCACTGTCAGCCCGGCTGCTATGAACACGCTTCGCTTAGAAATAGCCAAGCTACTGCAGAAGGGCGCTATAGAGAGAGTCCCGCCATCTATGACCGAGTCGGGGTTTTACGGCCGTTATTTTCTGGTCCCCAAGAAAGACGGCGGCCTCAGGCCGATCTTAGATCTCAGGGCTTTGAACAAAGCGCTCATGAAGAGACCGTTCAAAATGCTCACAGTCAGGAAACTCCTCGCGCACGTCCGCCAGGGGGACTGGTTCATCTCTCTAGACCTGAAAGACGCCTATTTTCAGATCCAGATAAACCCTCATCACAGGCCATTCCTACGTTTCGCCTTCGAGGGCCAAGTTTACCAGTATGCCGTTCTCCCGTTCGGCCTATCCTTAGCACCCCGTACGTTCACGAAGTGCATGGATACAGCGCTCGCCCCCCTGCGAAGTCAGGGGCTGCGCATACTGAATTATCTGGACGACTGGCTGATTCTAGCAGATTCCCAGACGGAGCTGCTGTCGCACCGCACAGTTCTCCTCAACCATCTGGAAGCGCTGGGACTCTCTGTCAACTGGACAAAGAGCTCTCTCCAGCCCAGTCAAACTATTTCGTTCCTCGGAATAGATTTGAACTCTATCACGATGACGGCTCGCTTATCCACACAGCGCGCGCGCCGTGTTCAGCGCCTAGCCGCCTCGTTTCAGATGGGTACCCTTACATCCCTGAAATCGCTTCAGAGGATGCTGGGTCATATGGCTTCAGCCTCCGCTGCGCTACAGCTGGGTCTCCTGCACATGCGCCCCCTTCAATTCTGGTTAAAGAGCCGCGTATCCCACCACGAGTGGACGACGGGCCGCCAGATGATCAGGATTACTCAGACTTGTATCACTGCACTGCAGCCATGGGCAGCAAGCGAGTGGTTTCAGAGGGGCGTTACTATGGGAACATTCTCTCGCCGGAAAGTCATCTCGACAGACGCATCCAACTCGGGTTGGGGAGCGGTTTGCGAGGGCTCACCGGCCGCCGGCCAGTGGTCGAGCCACGAGAGTTCCTTACACATAAACTGTCTGGAAATGATCGCGGTCGAGAACGCGCTGCTGTGCTTCCTCCCGCGCATAAACGGTCACCACGTCCTGATTCGCTCCGACAATATGGCCGTGGTATCATACATCAACCGTCAGGGCGGCGTCAGATCCAAGAATCTCTTTCATCTGACACGCCGCATCCTATTGTGGTCCCAGAGTCACCTGCTTTCGCTCAGAGCGACGCACGTGCCGGGCCATCTGAACGACGGTCCAGACAGGCTGTCCAGGAACCTGGTCTCCCCCGGAGAATGGTCCCTGCACACTCAAACAGTCCAAACACTGTGGCGCCTATTCGGCAGAGCGGAGATAGATCTTTTCGCGTCAGAAGAGAACGCTCACTGCCCAATATTCTTTTCAAAGAGCGAGGACGCGCTAGCCCAGGATTGGCCCCGCCGCCCGCTCTATGCTTTTCCCCCGATTTCTCTGCTACCGCAGGTCATTCAGAGAATCAGGGACTCACGCCACTCGGTGCTCCTCATAGCCCCGCGCTGGGAGAATCAGATTTGGGTCCCGGAGCTAACGCGGCTGTCACAGACAGCCCCGTGGCCCATTCCAATCAGAGCAGATCTCCTCACTCAAGCCCGCGGCTCGATCTGGCATCCCCATCCACAGCGCTGGGCGCTTCATGCATGGGTGACCAACGACTACGCGTCGAATTGCCAGAAGGGGTTTTGAACACGATCAAACACGCCAGAGCGGATTCTACCAGAAAGCTCTATGCTGCAAAATGGTCTGTGTTCTCCAAATGGTGCACCGACAAGAATTTGGACCCACGGACGTGCGAGGTTTCGTCTTTGCTAGTGTTCCTTCAGGAGATGCTGGATAAGGGCAGGTCCCCATCCACTCTTAAGGTTTACGTGGCAGCCGTCGCGGCGTTCGCTGAACCCCGGCGCGCCCAGTCTCTGGGCAAAGACGAGCTTATCATCCGCTTCCTCAGGGGAGCCAGAAGGATGAACCCCCCTCGCCCCCCTACGGTGCCGGTCTGGGATCTTTCTATAGTTCTAGAAGCTCTGAAAGCCCCACCGTTTGAACCACTTGAGTCCGTGGAGCTAAAATACCTCTCGTTAAAAACCGTTCTTCTGACGGCTCTCGCCTCAGTAAAACGTGTGGGGGACATTCACGCGCTGTCTTCGAGCGCCGCGTGCCTAGAGTTTGGACCGAGTGACTCCATAGTCATTCTAAAGCCTAGACACGGTTATGTTCCAAAAGCGATTGGTACCCCTTTCAGGGCGCAAGTGATCTCTCTATCGGCGCTGCCGGCATCCGATAGCGAACGTGACGCTCACCGCCTCTGCCCGGTTCGGGCTATCAGAGTGTACACTACACGCGTGGCCGCGTTCAGACGCTCGGAGCAGCTGTTTGTGTCGTTCGGTGGCCGCACCAAGGGACTAGCCGCCTCGAAACAGACCCTATCCAGGTGGATAGTAGACGCGATTGCCTCTGCTTATGCCGCTAAAGACCTGCCTTGCCCTCTGGGCATCAGGGCTCATTCCACCAGAGGCATGGCCTCATCGTGGGCATGGTCCTGCGGGATTTCCATCCACGACATTTGTGTGGCTGCGGGATGGGCTTCCCCCTCCACCTTTGTCAGATTTTACAACTTGGAAGTTCCAGCCTTACAGGCTAAAATTCTGGCTGTCTAGTACTCACAGCCCTCCTATAGAAGCCGCACTATCGGGAGTTCCATCACAACCGTTTCACCCCTTGTGTTCCCCTATGTGCTTATGCATTAGCCTTCACATCACGGCCCGCCTTCGCCGGCCGCCTTGGGCGTTTTTGCACTAGATAGTAACGGCCGCTATCTGGCCGCCGTATTATCTTCATCCACTTATAGATTCCCCGGTGTTCCCCTGGGATGCTTAGTGGTTACTTAGCGCGCACGGCGTTGACCAGGTGTTCCCGTAGCGTAAGCTAGCTTACGCAATACGAGAGAACCTCTCGTAAGAGAACGAATCGGTTACCTAACGTAACCTCGGTTCTCTCTAGATGAGGGAACGAGTATTGCGTTCCCGGCCGTGCTTGCGCCACCAGCGTTTCGCTTCATGCTACAGAATCAACGAACGAGCTGGGAGAGCGACCTTTATACACTGTAGCCACGCCCCTTTTGGCGGGCTGTGACGCAGTAAGCGAGCGCCGTCCGCTCATTGGCCGCGGACTCAGCGCCGCTCTCCCATAGGTTCGTGCATTCTCTCTGAGCGAACCAATGAGCCGCTAGCTAGCCCGCTCATGGTCTGCCTCAGAAGAGACTGCGTTGACAATGATTACAAAATTATGGAATAATTTTTTGGCTTCAACTTCTCAGCAAAGATGAATCTTTCCCGTAGCGTAAGCTAGCTTACGCAATACTCGTTCCCTCATCTAGAGAGAACCGAGGTTACGTTAGGTAACCGATTCGTTATTAATGCCAGTCAAAAGTTCGACTTAGACACATATTTCTTCTTTTTTAATTACTATTATACTATTCATGTATTCGTACTTGTTGGCTGCTTTTTATCAACCAATATCTGGTCCATTATTAAGGCTCCAAAATTAATATCATTCTGGCACGTCCGAAGTTCATGAACTGGCTTTTAAAATTGTATTATATTGTTGTCTGAGGTCAACTTATGACGTTCGGTTCGCTTGGTTTTTGCATTCAAAAACATCAAAATTAATAAGCAATGGGCTATTTAATTTGTACCCAAGTTGTGAGCCTTCCTGAAAAACGGTCGGTTTTTATGGGCGTGTCGCACTGAAGAATTGGAAATAAACGCCCACTGCTGTGAGTGGATAACAGTTTTGCATATTATAATGAGTTTAACTCACCTGTCGGTGTACGTGGGGGAAAACGTCCAATGTTGTCAAATGGCAACCAGATTCGCCCATACATGTTCGACCCAGAGTCCGTTTGTAGCACAATTCCTGTCAGATCCAATATAGACGGCACAGCACGTTCTTTACTTTAATCGTCTTGTTTACAAAACAATCCTCAGTGAAATGAAGCGAAGAGACGACGATGTTTTACCCTCATCAGCTGGAACATCATTAAAAATAAAGTTTATCCATGAAGTCCTATTGGAATCCAGAGGAAGCTAAATGCAGCGACTTTCTTCTTCCACAACCAGGCACTGCACAATATTCTGTATTGCTCGGTAGAACGATCCGGTTTGTCATCACGAGGTAGGCATGTTAGCTGTTACCGCAGCACACCAGTTTCAGAACCCCAACGCCAGAACCGGAAGTAAGGGGCGGAGTTACGTTCTAACCAACACCAGCGCTAGGAACGTAAGTGTGGGGCGGAGCTTAGGTTTGAAACCTAATAACGCCACCTAACGTAATTTGGAGGGTATTTTACACATGAAACAGCTTTTATTGAACAAGAAACATAGTCTCAGGTATGTATGTTATGATACTACATTATAGTACAATAAGCATTTTAAAACATTGATTTTGTGTAATATAATATAGTTTCAGTTATTCGTTTCATTGTATTATGTTACTTCCTGATCATGATGGTGAAAAAATAATACTAAAACTTATGGGCATTTTAATGTATAACAGTTGAATAATTTTAGCTAAGCAGTTTATTAATGAGCACGTATGTAACGTGTAGATTTAGGAAGGTAAGATCTTTGTTTTTTTTGTTTTTTATGAAGGAGTTAACTTTGTATAATAAAGCTTTAAAGATATAAATCAAGACAAGCATTGGAGGTTTTCAAAATTATACACAATTTGATAACTCATTAGACCTCTGTGATATTTTATGTTCTATTTATTTATTTATTTATTGTGTTTACAAAAATCTTAAATTGTTTTGATATTGAAGATATGTATTTGTAAGATGATTTTGAATGTTTAATGATAAAAAAACGCATGGGTATTTTTTTTAATAAAATATACTTTATTTCACAAAAACATGTGCAGCATGCATTTTTCGTGTAAAATAATAATGTCAAAATCTAAAAAAGAGAGAAAATTCGGCATTGTTTTGTTAAAATTCTATACAAAATGACCAACTCAACCCAAGCTAGGCCTGTTTTATCACAACAATCTTGTATAAATGTAATTTACAATGTATCAAATGAGGAACTCACTCTCAGGCCCGTTTTGTCCTTACATTCATGCTAAAATAATTATAATGCAATAATAATAATTCCGCCCCTCCCTCACTTCCGGTTCTGGCGCTGGGGTTCTGGCATTGGGGTTCTGAAACTGGTGTGCTGCGGGTCTGCAGCTACTATTGGTTGAAGTAGGTGTTGATCTTCTTCTGCGGGGTGGTGTTTTAACCCATAAGAACAGTGAAACAAATTGGGTGATACTTTTCACTCAAAAAGCATACATTTCACAAAGAAATGAATTAAGGCAATTTTGAACTATAAAGACTGAAATCGTATTTTCTTGTAAAACTTACTGAAAATTTACTTTGTAAAAATGTGCTTTCCAATTTTTTATTGGTATTGGTCCAAAGACATTTATTGCACTATTGTCCTGTTTACTATTTCTGTCTGGTATTTTGTGTGTCTCTTTCTCTCAGAGGCTCAGGCCTTTGTGACCCTGGCCACTACAGATGCCTATTGCATGGGATGTATAGTGGTAGGCAAAAGTTTGCGCAGACATGGAACATCAAGGAAGTTAGTGGTCATGGTTTCCCCCAATGTTTCTAGGGTAGGAAGGTGAGTGAGTCCTCCACTGTCCTCCACAATTAATTCTGAATTAATATCAATCCTTTCATTACAAATTTCAGAAGTAAGGGCTATGAAGAGTGATACGCTCCTTCTGTACATTTAGCTTTATAATAGTATTTGACTTTCAAAAAGGTAATTCTTTCCCATGCAAGGTACTATTAAAGTCTGTAATAGGTTTCAATGCCAGTGCAACATTACTCTTTCTTTGGGTTTCTTCTCATCTATCTTGAATTGTCCTTTTTCTTTTTGCCTCATTGATTTTTATGCATTTTTCTAGATTGGCCCTGGAGGACGTGTTTGATGAAGTTGTTGTGGTAGATGTGTTGGACAGTAGAGACAAGGCACATCTCACCTGGCTGGGACGTCCTGAACTAGGGGTCACCTTCACCAAACTCCAATGCTGGACCCTTACACAGTTCAGCAAGTGTGTGTTCTTGGATGCAGACACACTTGTGAGTAATTGGTTCTGTTCTGATAAATGAAAGTAAATTTGGCCATTAAAGTACACCAAGGCGTTCAAAGCTTTAGAAAAACAGAATACAAAACTAAATATTATTGTGCAAAATATGCAAAAATAAACAAAGTGCTGGTCTGCATATGCTATAGTGCAGGTACATACTTTGAGGATAATATATGAATTATTTTATCCCCACAACTAGGCTGTTATATTATTCTGTGCCGCAGGTACTGTGTAATGTTGATGAGCTGTTTGAATATGAAGAATTGTCTGCTGCACCTGATCCAGCCTGGCCGGATTGCTTCAACTCTGGGGTATTTGTGTTCAGGCCCTCACTGAATACCCATACCCAAATACTGGAACACGCCGCACAACACGGCAGCTTTGATGGTGAGTCACTCAGTTAGTGTTTACTACATTAAGATCTTTTAAGTTAAGTCAAAACCAGATGTGCCCGATGCGCGTTGGAACTTTAATTAGTCTCAAATACTGTTTTGTCACATTTGTATTTTGAATCTTTAAAAGCAACAACAGGAGCATCACATACCAACAGTATCTCACAACCAATTTGTACGAATTCATACAACGATTAAACGGTGGCAAATTCGTACAAATTAGTAGGACCTCCCTCGTACGAGCGTTCTCCGACGAGACCACCTCCTCGGATGGGGCCGTTTCCTGTCCTCATTTGACGGCCACGATCACTGTTTCACGTGCCTGGGCTTAAGCATGTTGAGACTGCGTTCAAGGGTGATTTATGTTCTTTCATGAGAGCATGACCACGTTGGCACGTTGTTCGTCTCCCCTTCCTCATAAAGGCTTGAGTCGCTCAGCGTGCCGTGTGCCATCCGGCTTGTCACGGCAACCCAGCGCGCGTCATTCAGCACTCTAGATGCGCAGTCGAGACTCAAATGCCTCAAATGAGGTGGAGTCCCTTTGCCTATTCCCCAATCTAGTTCATCTCATGGTGGCCACCGGAAAAAGGGCTACTTTGGTTAATAGCATTGGTGATCTGAGGATTACAGTGAGCGTTCTCCGACAAGACCACCTCCTCGAACCCCTCACTCCTCTTGCACATCGCAAACATGCTGAGACTGTGTTAGTGGGTGGTTTAATGCTCTCTTATGAGAGCATGACCACATCGCCACGTTGTATGTATTGCCTTTCTCACGGGGGGTTGGGCACTTAGGTTATGGCCACGTTTACTGTTTTGTATGCTTGGCAGCTTTTGGGTGAAATTTCTGGTCCTTCTCATGAGGGACCAGCTATTTCATTCGGGGCTCCTGGGGAGGATCAGATGTCGATCGCTGGAAATGCACTCTCTGATACACTCTGGAAATGATGATGCTGAGTTCCCACTGTAATGGTGTGTGTACTCATGCTGAATCAGATTCAGACTTGACAGCCACACTTTCCGGGCTACTCTGGGGGCGCAGTGCAATGTACAGTGATGGGAATAATGGCATTATAAATACACTGTGTTATCTTTCTCAGTAACGAGTAATCAAACCAATTACTGTTTCCCCTGTTACAACACTGTTACTGTTATTGACAATAAAATGCGGCGTTACTATAGGCTAATTGAGCTCACTGAAGCGGTTTCCATCCGAGAAGGCTCTCTCTAAGTTTTTTCTCTGGTGTGTGTGTGTGTTTATGAGGCGCCGGACTGGGTTAATGTGAAGCGAGCACAGTCGCCTCGGGACAGCCAGTAGCCAATACGCCTCAGAGAAAGATGGACCTTCCCTGCTGCTTGCCCCCTGGTGGAAACAGGTAGGTGTTGCCTCACACACCCAGACCCCTCTCTTGGCCGCAGCAATGCCTCCGGAGTCCAGTCCCTACCTTTCACCTCGCTCCCCCTGCCTTTCACCTTACTGCCCCTCACGTATACCGGTGTCCGGGTTGGCTCGTTAGTACGGGCTGTCGAAGTCTGGCTAGCTCTTCCGAGGCCGTCCCGCTGGCTCATCCTTACCGTCCGGCTCCGCTATGCAATTCAGTTTGCCCGCCGGCCCCCCAAGTACAGGAGTGTCCGCTTCACCCAAGTACGATGCCCCTGTCTTGAGGAAAGAGATTGTCACCCTGCTGGCGAAGGACGCGATCGAGCCAGTCCCTCCAGCCGAGTTGAGGTCTGGGTTTTAGTACTTACTTCATTGTACCCAAGAAGAGTGGTGAGTTACGGCCGATCCTGGACCTGCCAGTTTTGAATCAGGACCGTTTCCTCAGTTTGGGTTCGAGGGTCGGGAATATCAGTGCAAGGTCCTACCTTTCGGCTTGGCCCTGTCGCCCCGCGTCTTCACGAAGGTCGTGGAGGCAGCCATCGTTCCCATGAGAGAACATGGCGTTCGCATTCTCAATTATCTTGACGACTGGCTGATAATAGCTCGTTTGTGAGATCTGTTGTGCGAACACATGGACTTGGTGCTTCAGCACCTCAGCCATTTGGGTTTTCAGGTCAGCTAGGACAAGAACAAACTCTGCCCCACGCAGAGGATCTCTTATCTTGGTATGGAGTTGGACTCGGTCAGTCAGACTGTGCGCCTCACGGGGAGCGCTTCCAGTCAGTGCTCAACTGCTTCAGGTCTTTTCGAGGCAGGACAGCGGCCCCACTGAAACGGTTTCAGAGGCTCCTGGTAGAGGTCTTCACAGTGCACCTGAGACCCGACATATTTTAAACGATCAGCCGGGTCGGGTCCGAATCTATTACTTCGGGTCCCGGGTCTGTTTAACATTGTGTGTAATACCGTGCGATCGGAGTGCAAGTGCAATCTCAAGCGTGTGTCATGTTTCTTTGGCAACCAGAGCTTCCGCCAAACGCGCTTTACATTTTCTCCCATTTTCATAATAATAGCCTATAAATGAACCGTCTTGTTTAATCTTAAAGTTTTGGTGGTCAGAATTAGACTCAATGAAGAACAGAGAGCACAGATATGATCAAGCTGAACAAGCAACAAGCAATCGTTATTACAGTTCAAAAGGACAAACAGTTAAAGTTATTATGCGAGTTAACCCGAGTCAGAATGCATGTGCAAGGTTGCATTTGTCGTCCATTACCGTGACATCAAGTGGACTTTTAAAGCTGAAATAATGAGTGGATTAAGCTTGGAATAACGAGAGAAATAACATGGATAGAACTTTCTTGTCAGTGGATTGTAATGCATCACAGTCAGTCAGGTAACGTTACAAGGAAGTGAGACGACGACTACTAAAATTACAAAAAGTTTTATTTTTCGCAACTCGTGTGAAATAATATGTGACAATCGGGTCCAGTCGGGTTTGTGTCTTCCTGCCGGGTTCGGGTCCAGTTTTCAAATAATAGACGGGTCCAGGTCGGTTCGGTGTAGCACATTAAGGGTCTCTTTCGGTTCGGGCATGAATTTTTGGACCCGTGAAGACCTCTAGCTCCTGGGGCAAATGGAAGCCGAAGCCGCTGTAATGCCGCTCGGCCTGCTGCATATGAGACCGCTTCAGCGCTGGCTTCACGATCCAGTCCCGAGATGGGTGTGGCAGAGCAGCATGTTCCGGGTCAACATTACACTGCACTGTCGCCAAACCTTCAGTCCTTTGTCTGACCCTGCCTTTCTACAGGCCGGAGTTCCCTTAGTCCAGGTATCCAGCCTTGCTGTCGTTTTCACAGATGCCTCTGCCAATGGATGGGGGGCCACGTACAACGGGCATGCAGTCTCAGGTCTGTGGACGGGGCCTCAACTGCATTTGCACATCAATTGCCTAGAGTTGCAAGCAGTACGCTTGGCCTTGTGCCACTTCAAGGGGCTGCTTCTGTACAGGCATGTACTGGTCCGTACAGACAGCACTGCGACCGTGGCGTACATCAACCATCAAGGTGGTCTAGGTTCCTGGCGTATGTCGCGACTTGTCCACCATCTCCTCCTATGGAGTCAGAAGCATCTGAGGTGGGGTTTGCCATTTGATGTTGGGAAAGGTTCCAATGTTGTTGAAAATGTTGTGGTGGTCGCGCCAGCGACACGCACACATTTGAAAATAGCGAGTGATATATTGAAAGTTTTTTATATCGTTACCGACAATAGTGTACCATCGATAAATAACGAGACCGTTTTATCACCAAACCCTACTTACTCATTCATCTCACTTACTCAACTCATTCACGCACTCAACTCTCTAACGCACTCAACTCACTCACGCACTCAACTCATTCACTCACTCAACTCACTAACTCACTCAATTAACTCACCCCAATCAACTCAACTCACTTACTCAACTCACTCACTCACTCACTCAATCACTTCACTCACTCACTCAAATCAACTCAACTCACTTACTCCAATCACTCCCTCCAATCACTCAACTCACTCATTCACCTCACTTACTTAACTCATTCACTTACTCACTCACTCAACTCATTCTCTCACTTGCTCAATTCACTCACCAAGTCACTTAACTCACTCACTTACCTCTCTCACTCAACCCATTCCCTCACTCACTCACTCCACTCAATTTAAATTTCAAATGAGCACGACTGTGTATCAAAATAATGCCAAACCATTAACATATTAAAACAAACAAACAAAACATGTATCATGTCATATAGCATAGTAAATAAATAAATTCAATCCATCTTAATAAATGAATAGATAAAGCGGATCTCTCTAGAGAGTTAACCGTCTCTGGCGATATTGGAGCTATGCAGCTGTGCCATCATTTTCTCCGTAAAGTATGAAGTATGAAGGGCATTTCTCAGCATTTCTGAGCATCACTCAGTTCAATGAAGGATGGAATTAATGTTTCAAACCTGGGCAGAAAAGCTAATCTCACATTGATATATTTCGTACAGTGGAGTAGAAAGTGTTTCTTATCATCTATTTGCTATTGATCACATGTTATTATCTATTTGCTGTAGATCACTAACTGATGTCTAACTGATACTCTGCTCTCTCTCTCTCTCTCTCTCTCTCTCTCTCTCTCTCTCTCTCTCTTTTCTCTCTCTCTCTCTCTCTCTTCATTGTCTATGTCTTCCTCTCTCAATTTCTAGATCTTTGTCACTTAATCTGTATTTGGTGAGGATGTGTCTTTCTTTAAATTGTTTAATTGATAGATAATTGGCGAATTTAGTGATTCTATTTAGGGTCAAGTTATATTGGAGTTTATTTTAGAAGTCAAAATGAGCTTCTAGTGATTCATCATGATTGTCTTTTAGATTTTTGTCGATTTCTTTAATAGTTTTGGGGTTGTAGCTGAAGTCAATCGGGAGATGTGTGAGTGTGTTTAGAGGATAATATTCCACTGAGGTTTCATTGGCGAGGAGGGCTTTATATTTTACTGAATCCGGATCGGACTTATGGAGTTGATGCCAGAACTGAACACATCTCTTCTGGATATCGATGATCTGTTGGTACAAGCCTATTGGGCGGGCTTCTGTGAACCCCTAAAATATTTTTGGCAATTTCCAATTGTTTTTTTTTTTTTTAACTAAAGTTTCATCCACAGTTACATTAAGTACTGATCCCCACATTCCACATCCATATAAAATAATTGGTTTTATTATTGAAATGAATCATTTTCATTTTAACTCACTCACTCACCCAACTCATTCACTTACTCAACTCACTCACTCACTCACTCACTCACTCCAATCATCTTTACTCAACTCACTGGCTCCAATCTCTCAACTCACTCACTCTCTGTACAATATACAATACAAATAAATAATGAATAAAAATACAAAATAATAATATTAATAATGAATTTATAATAATGAATTTAATAATGAACCAGAACCAGGAAGTATGACCATATTAGCCCGGTTCTGTCAACACTGCATTGGCTTTCTATTAAACATTGCATAAAATTTAAAATATTGTTGATTACTTACAAAGCACTAAATGGTTTAGCTCTGCAGTACTTGAGCGAGCTCTTAACACATTATAGTCCTTCACGTCTATTGCACTCTCAAAGTTTCGGCCAGTTAATAATACCTAGAATATCGAAATCGACTGCTGGCGGAAGATCCTTTTCCTATTTAGCACCAAAACTGTGGAATAGTCCTCCTACCATTGTCCAGGAAACAGACACACTCTGTCAGTTCAAAGCTTGATCAAACATCTCTTTTCCCTATCGTACACATAATACATTATAGACTTCTAAAACTCAATGTTAGGCTCAGCGCTGGCGCTAGCCATTTGGGTGCCCTAAGCAAAAATGCTTGGTGGTTCGCGTTTAAAGGACAATCTGCGTTCTGTTTAGAGACATTCATATACATCTTTACCCTACAGTTACTGTAAATCCGGCCTCTAGTTCGTTAATGCTAGAGGAGAACTGGCCCCCAACTGAGCCTGGCTTCTCCCAAGTTTTTTTTTTTTTTCTCCATTGGGTCACCTGATGGAGTTTTCGGACACCAGTAGGTCACTTGATGGAGTTTTTCGGTTGCTTGCCACTGTTGCCTTTGGCTTGCTCAGTTGGGGATATTCAAATTTACATTTACATTTATTCATTGAGCTTACGCTTTTATCCAAAGCGACTTACAATTGCTATATACGTCAGAGGTCGCACGTCTCTGGAACAACTAGGGGTTAAGTGTCTTGCTCAGGGACACATTGGTGTCTCGAAGTGGATTCGATCCCGGGTCTCTCACACCAAAGGCATGTGTCTTATCCACTGCGCCATCACCACCCCACCATCAATAAATTAATTAATTTGGTGCCATCACCAAATTAATTAACCAATCATTAATACCATTGATCAGCTCTAGAAACGAACACTGTTATTTTGTTTTGATTGATAATGTGAAGCTGCTTTGATGCAATCTATATTATGAAAAGCACTATATAAATATACTTGACTTGAATAAAAAAAATAAATACAAATTTTACATGAAAATAATCATAGAAATATAAATGTTTAATCTTCTAATATTTATAACAGTGTCTCTAGCATAGTGAGTGTTGGTAACTCTGTCTTGCTGGAGGCTCTTTTATTGAGACAGGACCTCACCTGGCAGCCAGGTTTAAGCTTGGCGGGCTTTCTCCTAGCAGGTCCATATTTGTTTTCTGATGGAAGTCTTTCTGGTGGGTTGTGAAATGGGGATAGAAAGTGTCCCTAATGTTTGTATAATAAGTGCAGGATGTCAAAAAGTGAAGCTCTGTTTCCACTTGATTGATTCTCTGTGCAGTGACGGCACAGCTGCTCTTCCTGGTCTGTCTGTGTCTGCCTGTCTCTGTGAGTTCTAATTTAGAACTGATGTTAGTCTTGGTGGCTGGGTCTTTTTCGAAAAATCATTATTTTTGTCTTTTTGGAGTTAACTGACAGGGCCAATGACTGACAGAAGTTGTGCAGGAGGTCTAGATGCTGCTTTTGTCAGATCATCAGCAAACAGAAGGCATTTGACTTCAGTGTCCAGTAGAGCAAGACCAGGTGCTGCAGACTGATCCAGAGCCCTCGCTAGCTCATTTATTTATATGTTGAACAGAGTTGGACTTAAGCTGCAGCTCTGTTTCAATACACGACTCTAAAGGGAGGAATTCGGTGTTTATTACCAATTTTTACTGCAAATTTGTTGTTTGTGTACATTGATTTAATGATGTCATATGTTTTTTCTCCGATGCTGGACTTGATTAATTGAAGAAAAAGACCTTCATGCCAAATGGACTCAAAAGTTTTTTTGGAGCATGGGAAAATTTTACTTTGGTTTTGGTTGATTTGCTTATGGATTAAGGTATGGATGGAGAGAGTGTATATATGGTCTGACGTTGCAGAAAAGTTTGCATTGGTTGCTGTTTATACAATACCACGGTAGTTATTAGGGTCAAATTTTTCCCTGTTTTTATGCATTGTTGTAATAAGACCTTTGTTCCAGATTTTGGGCAATATACCTGAACTCAGGAAGAAATTGAAGAGCTTGAGGATGGATAATTGTAATATGTGGTCTGTGTATTTAATCATTTCATTTAGGATGCCATCGACATCACAGGCTTTTTGCGATTTCAGGGTTTGCATTTTGTCTAATAGTTTGGCTAGTGTAATTTGAGTCTAAGGGGTTTTGGTAGTCTTTGATGGTTGATTCTAAAACCCTTAGTTTGTCATACAGTGTATTTTGTTCCTGATTTTTGTTTATATTACTGAAGAGGTTGGAGAAGTGGTTTATCCAAACATCTCCATTTTGGATGGCTAGTTCTTGATGGTAAAATTTGGTTAGTGTGTTCCAATATTTCCAGAAGTTCTGTTATTGTTTATATTGTTTAAGTTTTCAGTGATAGAGATGACTGATGTTCTCATTGTCAGCATCTCTGTGTTTCACTCACCTCTCTTACTCAACTCATTCACTCACTCACTCATTCACTTACTCAACTCACTCACCTTACTCACTCAACTCATTCATTCATTCATTCACTCAACTCACTCACTCACTCACCTCACTCCACTCACTCACTCACTCACTCACTCACTCACCCACCTTCCCACTCATTCACAGTACTAAAATACTGTCAAATATAAATATATTAGTGTTATTAATATGACACAATCTGTCATGTATAGGAGGAGACCAGGGTGTTTTAAACACTTTCTTCAGTGACTGGGCAGTAAAAGATATCAGGAAGCATTTACCATTTGTGTACAACCTCACTGCCAGTGCTGTCTACACTTTTCTGCCTGCATTTCAGCAGTAAGTTAGTTTTCACTCTATATATTATCATTTAGGTATACAAATAATTCATGGTGTTATTTATTTGTGTAATGTTTATTAAGTTATCATATATCACATTAAATACATACTCAAGTAGGACAAATAAGCGTTCTGGTTTTGTACAGGTATGGCCACCATGCAAAAATCATCCACTTCTTGGGTGGGATCAAGCCCTGGCATCATTCATATAATCAACAGGCTGCCAGTGAGTCATCTTTTAGGGATTCCAGCAAGAACTTTGCACAATTTATGCATTTATGGTGGGCGGAGTACAACAGTCAAAACCAGCTACAAGTTAAGAAGGATGACAAGAATGAAGACTATGTAAGACTACACTCACATCAGATATTTTGTTTTTCATATTGTACATAGCAGTGTTACTTTCATTGAAACTTTAAAGGGATAGTCCACCCCCAAAAAATAAAATGCTGTCATCATTTACTCACCCTTATATCATTGCAAACCTGTGACTTTCTTGCTTCTGCGAAACATAAAAGAAGATATTTTGAAGAATGTTGGTAACCCAGCACGTTCGGTTCCCATTGACTTCTATTGTATATTTTGGTCCATACAGTGGAGGTCAGTGGTTAAAGGTGCAATACCTAAGATTCAGATGCCGCTAGAGGGCGCTACATTCAAAACAACAACAACGGCTTTGCTTGATGACGACGTGGAGGAACGCGGAAAGATGGGAACTGTTGTTTTCATCTCCACCGTGGATAAATCAGTCAGACGGGAATCGAAAATTGTTGTCATGGATGAGGTAAAGTTTGATTTCTATAAATCTTGCCTTTAATGACATGCTTGTTTTTCCATTCAATTGAAATAACCGCAAGAAAAGTAAGGTTTAAAAGTGAATTATCAACGATGTTACTGTATTTTTCTTGAATTGTGATAAAGCTGGCCATTTTACCATACATTCGCACATACCCACATCATTTGCCAAAGGACTGATCAATCTTTATGTAGAACATCGTATGTATTTACATGGCCATAAACACCAGACGCGATAAATAATGTTATTAATAAAGTAAACATAAATCTAATGCAAGAATACTTTTCTTACATACACATAACTATTATCATATGCTACATTTTTAATATAAAAAATTAAGCATACTGAATCACCACTTCTATGTGATTTTGGATTATGCATTCTACATAACTATCTAAAATTTAAAACATTAGATACATTTTACATTTTTTATGCATATGTATTGATAGCTGTCATGTCTTACAGCCAAAAGTTCACAACTTCACATTCCGAGAAGTATTCGCGGTGAATATGACCTTACGATTTTTTAGATCATATACATAGACAACAAGACATTCTAACTATAATAATAATTGTTTTGCATCGTTTACTGACATGACATTTTAATACAGAACACGGTGTTACTCACCTGTCAAGTAAAACACATGCAAGATCGGCGTCTCTTTCTAGTCGGAGTTTTTCACGAACTTCTCTCCATTTAGTAAATGCCACACCGATGTTAATCCTGGTTCTATTTCTGTTCTTGTCCCAAATTCTTCTTGGGTCGTTTGGTTGACCCGTTCGTTTACGTTTGCGTTTATGAGATTCAGAACCAGGTTCAATCGCTAAATAATAATTGTGCTCCATTCCATAACCAATACGCGAAAAAAGCGGACGTTTGTTGCTTGTCTTGATAGACGCTAACGCACAACTACAACTACCGCATTTGTCCAGGACTACACAAGAGCGGAAACCGAGGTAAGCGGATATGACGCGATTGACTCGCGACTCCCAGCTCTCCCCTGCTGACACGTTCCGTGTCCTTGGTTAAAATCTCAATTTTCTCGCGATTAAAACATTGATTGAAACATTTGGAATATTGTGAGTTATCATCTTTACTAAATATATAACACTGGCCTTGTGATTTTGGGATATTTTAATGCAAAAATCTTAGGTATTGCACCTTTAACTGTTGGGTTACCAACATTATTCGAAATATCTTATTTTATGTTCCACTGATGAATGAAAGTCGTATGGGCTTGGAATGACATGAGGGTGAGTAAAGGATGGACAGACATTTTATTTTTGATTAGATTTTCCCTTTAAATATCCATTAGCATAATTATTTTCTTTAATACCTAATGTTAAAATATACACTCACCTAAAGTATTATTAGGAACACTTGTTCATTTTTTCATTAATGCAATTATCTAATCAACCAATCACATGGCAGTTGCTTCCATGCATTTAGGGGTGTGATCCTGGGTTACCTCTGTGCAGGCTGCTGGTGGTGGTGTAACGGTGTGGGGCATGTTTTCTTGGCACACTTTAGGCCCCTTAGTGGCAATTGGGTCCATCCCTTCATGGCCACCATGTTCCCATCCTCTGATGGCTACTTCCAGCAGGATAATGCACCATGTCATAAAACTCTAATCATCTAAATTGTTTTTTTTTTGAACATGACAATGAGTTCACTGTACTAAAATGGCCCCCACAGTCACCAGATCTCAACCCAATAGAGCATCGTTGGGATTGGGTGGAATGGGAACTTCGTGCCCTGGATGTGCATCCCACAAATCTAATTTAACTGCAAGATGCTATCCTATTCATTATGGGCCAACATTTCTAAAGAATGCTTTCAGCACCTTGTTGAATCAATGCCACATAGAATTAAGGCAGTTCTTAAGGAGAAAGGGGGTCAAACACAGTATTAGTATAGTGTTCCTAATAATCCTTTAGGTGAATGTATTTCATTTGTGAGTCACCTGTAATCTTTTTCTTGGTCTGCAGTCAGTGCAGCAGTTGGATTCTTCACAGACACATCCAACTCCAACACAAAGCCAAAAGAGCAGCATTGAAGCCCTCCACAGAGAGACGAGACTCTCTTCACCTCTCCAAGATCTGACTTTGGACTTACTGAAAATCAGCTCATCTAAAAAATCTGAGGAAATGCTATGTGATAGTTTGAGCTGTCCTTCCAAAGAAATGAAGGTTTGAATAACTGAATTGAAGAATTCTGAACAAAAACAACAGCAACAACAACATAATGCAGTCTTGATTCATCTCTCACTCTGAGTCTCTCTCCGAATCAACTCTACTTCCTTTAAAAGTATTTTGCCCTCTGGGTTTTTAGACAAATCCGGTGACACACCCATCAGTGACTCAACAAAAATCAGTACAGATAGTTCAGATCAGTTCAGATAGAAAAAACACAATGATTGTGAAGATATTTTAAATGTAATGCAAAGACCCAGGGATTAAAGAACTTGGACCAGAACTTTTGATTTAAAAGAAAATAATATAATTTTTGGGAGTTTGGTGTCAATCCATTCCATTTCTTGTTTATGCTCCAGAACAGTTTTTTTTGTTTGATTCAGGACAAACATTCCATTACTTCACAAGAATCTAATGCTCAAAAAAATAAATAAAATAAAAATAAAATTCATAACATAAAAATAAAATTCATTACATTTAGCATTTATGCTACATTTATGTGTCCTTTCAGCTGGCCCGTATTTTATTTTAATTTTTTTTCAAATCAAAATATTATTTATGAATAAAAAATAGAATTCAAGACAACTTCAGTCAAGGCAAAGTTAAGAAACTATAGTTTTATATAGGTTTTTCTTCTCCACCATATCTTCTCCACGATATCTATGTGCCACCCCCCACCTCCAAAACGCAATTTTGTTTTCATTTATTGGATTTATTTCATTAATCATTTATTGCATACATTGTGAATGTGCAAGTATTTTGTCTAGTATTAGGAGAAGGCCTATTCATTTATTTACTTTCTTATTTTTCTATCCCGTCTTCTCAGGATATTCTCTTTGATGTCTTATCTGGTGGGGAGACTGAAGAGACCCCTATAGTCAGCCCTCCATCTGCAAAGACTGAACACAAAGATCCAGAGACTGCTGATGATTCTGCCGTAGGCACTGGAAAAGCTGTATGTATGAAAATAAGCTAATGTAGCTTAAATTATTAAGCTAATACTTTGATTTTGATGTTATACTTTTTTCATTTATACTTTTATAATAATTACTTATTTCCAAGATACTTTGCATTACAGTAAACTAAAACCAAAGCCTATTTTTTTTTAAACCAAAGCCTTTTTTTTGACTGAAAAAGAAGAAGAAGAAGAATTTTGTTCAGCTACAACATTTCTTGATTTTTTTTTTTTTTTTTTTACTTAACTTGATATACTACAATTACTAAAAATACAACTAGAATAAATACTATAGATTTTTTTTTTAACTAATAAAAATTATATACATGGGAAACGGAAAATATAAAAATAAAAACTTAATTTAAAATTCTAATAAAAACTAATAGTATCTCAATAATGCTAAAATTACACTGCTTCATATAATGAAGTTTGAGATGGGTGTTTTCTGAGATGGGTGCTTGCAAATATCAGTGTATATGCTGCCATCTAATGGTGGATTATTAGAGCAGTTATTAGATTTTAATTTGCAGAATAAACCAGCATTTTTTTCCCCATGAAGAACTAAGTACATATCATTATGATTTTGATAGTAATTTTGTAACTGAAGATGGATTCATCATATGGTCCTGTTGTAGATCACTTCTGAGACAGAGGAGGAAGACTTGGAGCGCCGGCGCATGTGGGAGGAAGGTCACGTTGATTATATGGGCAAAGATGCCTTTGACAACATCAAGAGAAAACTTGACCTATTCCTTGAGTAATTCTCTCTCTCTCTCTCTCTCTCTCTCTCTCTCTCTCTCTCTCTGTGTACAGTATGTATGTGTGTGCGCACAGGTTTACTTTACATTGTGAGGACCAAATGTCCCCACAAGGGTAGTAAAACGTGAAATCACCTACATTGAGAGGACTATAGCCAGTGAAAGAAATTGATTAATGAACCTACGTACCTATGTTTGTTTTTGTTTTTTTAGAAAATGTAAAATAGCAGACAGTTTTCTGTGATGGGGGGTAAGGTTAGTGTAAGGGTTTAGAATACAGTTTGTGCAGTATAAAAATCATTATGCCTATGGAGAATCCCCACAAAGATAACAAAACTGTGTGTGTGTGTGCTGGATGTGTGTTTTTGACACACAACTATTACATTTTCAACTGTTACATTTTCACCTCCTCTAATATCTTTTACCTCTGTAGTATATTTGCCACAATCACTGTGGATCATACAAAAATATTGTGAAAATGTCTTGCATATAAATGTAACTTGTTAAACTGAACCTAGTATTTGAATTTCTGTACTATGAGACTACATTATGTGATATAGGGCCTATCTTTATGATTTAGCATATGTTGTGATCTTTTGTTGGCAGTTTTATTAAAATATGTACTGTACATAAATCCCATTCTCTAGCACTGTTAAGGAAGACATTATTAATAACTTATTAATCAAGTATTAAATCGTGAGAAAGGAATCAAGAGAAAGATCTAGTATTAAATGTCAATGTCCAAAAATAATCCTGTAACACATCCTTCAAACAAAAGAAAATGTTCAATTGTGTTCAATAGCCTACTTTGCCAGTGTTTTTATTTTTTTGTGCCACTAGAGGTCAGGCTATACACTCATGTTTCTATGTTGCTCAGTCAGAGGGCATCTTTTATTTGATCTTGTTCAATAAAACACATCACCAGCCAACGTATTTTGATGTTTTCAGGAGTAGCATAACCTTTTGGTTTGACATCACTCTGTTTTTAACTGAGCACAATAGCTGATTGCATCTGATTCACTCTAAATTTGTCCTAATTTTAAACCATTATTTTACCACATTAATATTATTTAAATTAAATTATGTTTATACTGTCAATACAAGAGGTTTGGAACATGGATGCAATGTAAATTTAATAAATTAACTAAAAAAAAAAAAGTCCACTGTTTATTTTCCATGACTTTGCAAAAAAAGGAGACTTTCTGTGAAAATGGTCCATTAAACAGAATCTACATAGATCAATTTGAGATCATCCAGTTTTTACTTGAGCTAATATATTTATAAAATGTTATCCAGTTCCAACATTAAGCAATATATTTTAACATTTACATTCACTGTCACAACAGGTATTGCCATTCACCCAAAAATTAAAATTCTGTCGTCATCATCATTCATCATTCATATTCTTCCAAACCTGTAGGAATTTAGAATACTATTTTGAAGAAGATATACCTGATATGTCCGGTCGGCGCCAAACTATTTCAGTAACCAAACAGTTTATTGGACCCCGTTGACTTTCATAGTAGCCTATTTTTCCCCATACTTTAGAAGTCATTGGGGTTCATCAACTGTTTTACCGACATTGTTCAGCGCTGGCAAATAAAGTTATTTGCTGTCAAAATGACGGCAAAATGAATGGGAGTCAATGGAATGCTAACAGCAGGTTTAGGCTTGCTAATAAATGGCGGCCCCCAGGGAGGTTTCAGTTTCCGGCTGGTGGATTACCCCCTTTGTTCAAGAGTGGCAATGTCCACTGCACGCAAGTAAGAAATCTATTTAGTAAAAAAAAAAAAACAAAAAAAAAAAACATTGATTTTCGCTGATTACAAACGGACTCTCGGGGAAAACAAAGAAACGATAAAAAGGTAAATGTTAGGAAAAATGTCCATAGAACTTGCAAAAGAAAATGTTCCGACTTCTCATGAACAGCTCCTTGAATTCACACACACCACGACAAAATGGCGTTACCTGACAGCATCAACAGCGTGGTCAGGAGAAAAAAGTAATAATTTTAGTCCATATGATTTATTCACATTTATTCACATACAAATTATGTCCACAAATTAATAGAATCTACTTAATCAGTAATGCAATCAAACTTAAATAATTTTTAATTATATTTATTTATATATTATTTATATATAATATTTATTTATAGGGGGAGACCGGGGATGGTTGTAACAGTTTTTTTTTTTCTCATTTCCTAAAACTACCTCTTTTTTTAGCTACACGTCTAAAACTTTTAGGCAAAGTACCCATTTTTGTCTACTACAAATTGCAACAATTTAAATTTCTTCAAAAATATCATAGACTTTGTGAGATGATCATGAATACAAGGTGGTCTTTTGTTACAACCTACCCCACCACTGGGGTAGGTTGTAACACATACTGGGGTCAGTTGTAACAGGTAGACAAAATGCACAATAACTAAGGGTACTCCAAGTCATATGCCACAACAACATTTTTATTTTAAATTAATGGCTGCAACAATAAAATATGTGTCAATTTGGAGAGTGTATATGCATATTTTGTGTGTTTGTGACAGTCTATGGTTCGTGCATGCACAAGTGTGCGTTTGTGTGTGCATGTCTGTATGTGCTCATTCATATGTGTGTGTGTGTGTGTGTGTGTGTGTGTGTGTGTGTGTGTGTGTGCGTGTGTGTGTGGTCATGTTTTTCTATCGCAGTGGGGACTTAAACCTGAATACAAACAGACTCATTGGGACTTGTGTCACTGTGGGGACCTAAAGTGAGTCCCAATGGGTAAACACGCTTATAAATCATACAGAATTATTATTATTTTAAATGTAAAAATGCAGAATGTTTCCTGTGATGGGTAGGTTTAGGGGTAGAGTTAGTTTAAGAGGATAGAATATACAGATTGTGCAGTTTAAAAACCATTACATCAATGGAGAGTCCCCACAAAGTAAACCAGACATATCCCAGATTCCATGGGATTTTTGCCACTGTCCTGACTGACTTACCTTTCCTAACTTACTCAGCTGCTCTTTTTAAAACACTGGCATCGACTCCACGATCTGTCTTTCTCACCTGAGTACTAGCCATTCTGTATAATTATCAAAATCACAAAAATGTTCATCGTTGTTGTGTGTATGGGGATGGTTGTAACACGTTCAAAACACGTGTTACAACCTACCCCGCCACTGTCACCATTGTTTAAATAGCTGCATCAGCAGAGTGCTTTAAAATTAGCAGGAGGTTGATGCACCATTTTTTACTGTGGAAACTATAGTTTGACCTAATATAACTCATACAGCATTATCTAAAACGGTAGCAGAAAAAAAATATTTTCTTGTTAAGTTTTTTTTACTTTCTTACATCAGAATTTGATTTTCTGCTGTATCTTCATGAGAGATAGCAACACAGACTTGAAAACCTCCATGTGAGATCGTGAAGGAAGCCTGAGGAAACTGAAACTGTCACATGACTCCTATCTTATCCCTGATTGGTGGAATTGGTAGTGTTACAACTAACTGTCCCCGGTCTCCCTAGATATAAAACCGGGGCTAACACTGTGGTTTGACAGACAAGGCTAAGATTAAGCCAAGATTAGGTTTTAATTAATTTAGGTCATTTAAGTAGCTTGTTTAAAGCTCAAACATGTGTTTTAGTCTGAGACTATAGATTTAAGCCTTGTCTGTGAAACCTGGGGGTTAGTGTAGTCATAGCTGAATTCAATATGGACTATCTGAGCTCTTTCACTTTGCATGGTTTGTGTTGTTGGGATTAATACATCTTTTTTTTCATCAAACTCATACTTCAATAATTCTGCTGTAATATGATATAAGCATGAATTTGTCGATTTAAAGCTGTGCACTGCAGGGTAACAAACAAAGATGTGTGTTGCACATAGACCAAATAGTGTTGCAGATGTAAAGATGTTTTCGGTCTCATAGTGATGTTCTCCCACTCTTTTCTAATAAATAAAAAATATTTACAGAACATTTAGTGACTAGCTGCTCAGAATATATGAGATATATGAGATATATATCATACCCCCCCCCCCATGAGATATTGAAGCCAAAAACTATCCTTCATTTTGAATTAATGTAAAGGGCGTTGCGGCAGCATGAAGACATAGGCAAGACGGCTTGCGTGCCAATTGGCTGTCCTGCGGTAACTGCAGCAGCCTATTGAGAGAAGCCCTTGGTGACGTCAAATCCAACTCTCCCAACCCCCAACAGCTTACCGGTTCGCCTGCCAGCTTCGCCAGCTTCACTCGGGTCACTCCCCGACAGACAGCGGCTGCCATCCGCCATCACTTCGCTGAGAGGCACCTTTGGCTGACGCTATCGGAGATGTCGGACTCGGAGCGTTCTGTGACAGCGCCGTCAAGCCCGGGACCAGAGACCGCGCTCTCACTGGCCCCCGCCCCCCTCCGCGTGGAGTTGAGATAAAGCCTGAGGCCTTAAGTGCAACGTGTATGGAATTTGGGCCAAATGACTCAAAAGTCACACTCAAACCAAGACACGGATATGTGCCAAAATCCCTCAACACACCGTTCAGGGCTCAGGTTATTTCCCTGTCTGCCCTGCCGGTTACAACAAGGAAAAAGACCCCAGCTTCCTCTGCCCATTCAGGGCATTAAGAGCTTATGTGTCTCGCTCGTCTGTTTTCAGACAGACTGAACAGCCCTCCATTTCGTTCAGCAGACGTGCTAAGGGACTAACCGCATCGAAACAGAGCCTATCCAGATGGATAATTGATGCCATAGCACTGGCATACACGTCAAAAGGCTTGAAGTGTCCTTTAGGTGCCAGAGTGCACTCCGCAAGAGGCATGGCCTCATCCTCGGCTTGGTCTAGCGGGACTCCCTTACAGGATATCTGTATGGCGGCGGGCTGGGGCTCCCCGTCTACATTTATAAGGTTTTATAACCTTAAGGATAATTTTTGGCTTCAATATCTTGTGGAAAAGAGGTTTTCCCCTAGCATAAGATATTACTCAGTAATCATTCTCTCTTCTAGAGAGAACCGAAGTTACGTTAGTAACCGAGTAACTATAGGCTCAATCCCAATTCACCCCTTGGCCCTACCCCTCCGTTTTGCGCGTTCACGTCTAGGGGTAGGGTGTCCCGATTCTTCTTGAGATCGAGGGGTAGGGTGAAGGGGTATGGCTACATAGCCCTCGAAACGGAGATTTTTCAGAGGCACACTCCAAACAGAGGGCTAAGAGAAAAGTTCACGGAATGCATCGGAGATCACCGGCGAGATGGATCGCAAACGGTGGTTAAACATTTAAATTTAGCGCCAGATGATTCCACCTCGCACTTTATTTACTCTTGTAATAACACTATAGTCATTTAAATTAACAAATGGTATATTAAATTACCATTCCAATCAGAAAAGACATACATTTCGAGGAAGGGATGTTATAATCATCATGTTTATTCAAAGTTAAGAGCAGCTGCGCTGATTGTCAGCTGATTGCAAACTCTGTAACGGCAGAGCCATCGCCGACGACTGATGACGTATCGGGTTCATGAAGGGTCGTTCCATTTCGTGGGTAATATTCCAACCCGTTGGCCCTTGTCACTCTGTTTTAAGAGCCAAGGGCTACACTCGAAAACAAGGGGTAGGCCCAAGGGGTGAATTGGGATTCAGCCTTATTAGTCTGTGCTTTCATCATGTCAGAGAAAACCTCAATTACATGATAGTTAAAATCCCTATTTTCATTAATTGCTCACATTTACTGGTTTGAGAAGGTTTAAGTCATTTGCAGAGGGGACAGTGCTCACATATTTTCTGAAACTTCGTTATTTATTAAAAGTAATCTTTATTTAAAATATGCAAAATAGAAATACATTATTTTAAAGGAAAAATAATTTATAAGTGTTACAAGTGGACAAGTATGACATTTTTCAAATAGAGCAATGTAGATAAAAAAATCATATGAAAAAGCTATTGCTGGAAACTTTGTATTTCATTTGTTAGTAATTCTTGAATGCTGAATAAAAATATGTGATTGTAATACTGTGAAAATTAATTTTCGAAAAAATTCAAATGTTGTTAAAAATGTGTAGTGAGCATCTTGTTTACATTTGAAAGTTTTGAATAATTATGTTTTTTATTGTTATTTTGATTAAAATAATGGTATCCCTGATTTTTTAAATATTCTGCATTATTGGCTTCCATAAAGTCAGAATATATCATTTACATTTTTCTTCATGGCTACAAATATATACAGTATCTTTTGTATCTATACATTTAGACATAAACTGTCATTGTCAAACATTAAAAGTAGAAAGATGCCTTGTAATACCAGTAGGTTGGTTACATTACATGAATCCCATTCCAAGCTTTTGAAGAATAGTACCTTTTTACATTTTGCAAAGTTTTACTTGCAAACTTTAAAGTAAAGCTCACATCATTGACAAAATATAATGTAATGTTTTTTTTTTTTTTTTTTTTTTTGCATTGGGCTGATTCCATTCTATTTTTCACATTAACAAATTCTACAGTATTGCTATCAAGCTGTCTTAAAGCTTAATTTCGCAGTTCCTTGGGCATATCAAGAGTAGATGTCCTGTGTTTCTTAGTATACATAAAGGTATGTACCTTTTGAGTCAACCCCTACCACATTTCTGGCTGTGCATCTGTACAGTCCAGCATCTCTTGTTGTAGGATTCTGGATGATTAAGGAACCCTGAGGATGGAGGTACTTGTTCCCAATTAGTCGTGGTTGGGGGCTGACAACAAGCCGCGTTCGGTCTGGTGTCTCCCATGCGATTTCTGATTTGGGGATCCCAGTGGCCACACAGTTAAGTTGTACCGCCACTCCTCTTTTAGCATAGGTAGCAGGAGCTGGGCCACTAGTGATACGGGGTGGATATGTAATGATGATGACTGGAACAGTCACCAGGGAGCTTCCATATTCATTTGAGGCCCTGCAGGTATATGAGCCCCTGTCATGGACAGAGGCCTGCTTGATGGAGAGGGTTCCATTGGCAAGAACAGCATAACGACCTGCTCTTTGAGGTCGGTTCAAGACTATCCCGCTTGGCAGAGTCCAGGTGAGGCGGACAGAGTCAGTATTTGACAAGCAGTGCAGATGTAAACTTTGCCCATTTATGATACTAACAGGTGAGTTATACCTGTTATTGATTTCTGGCTTGTGCCCTGGTATTAATGTAACCATTCTTTCAACCAGCCCAGCTGCATTGCGTCCCAAACAACGATATGTACCTGCCTCTGAGAGAGTAGGGTTACTGATGACCAAAGTCCCATCAGACTTGTGGAGGAATTTACTGAATTGTGCACCTCTCAATAGTGGGGAGCCATTTAGAAGGATCCACGTCAGCTCGGGGGTTGGTGACCCCTCAACTGAACAGCTTAGGTTAATGGTCCTGCCTACGGTCAATAAGAGTGACTCCATTTTAGGACTCTTAAGTTTCGGCTTCTCCAAAACATCTGTTACATCAAGCTGAACTCTGAGTTTTGTTTCACCTCCCTCATTACGAGCAACACAGGTTAACTGGCCAGAATCGGTCATTCTCACTGAACGGATATCCAAAGTGCCATTGCGATGTACTGTCATTCGACTGCCATAATATGGTGCGGGGAGTACAACATTTTCTGGAAGAACCCACATGACACGGGGAACAGGTGTACCAGTAGTTTCACAGTCAATTAGTTTTCGTTGATCTCTCACACTAGACACTTTCATTGAGTTTGTGGTGCCTATGAGGCCATTAATAGCAGGTGGAGAGACAAGAATTTCCACTCTGGTCACTTTGCGATCCTGTCCTGCACTGTTCCTGGCAAGACATATATAGTTCCCACCATCAAATCTCTGAACTTTCTGAATGATTAGAGTCCCATTGTTGTGTATAAAATATTTGTCTGAAACTGAAGTGATGGCTCTATTAGTGGGTGAGAACCACAATATAACAGGTGTTGGCTCACCCTTGGCACTGCACTGCAGGGAGACGGATTCTCCATAGAGGACCCTGATGGTATCATGTGTCTTATTTGCAATCATAGGAACATCTGCAACTACTTCCACATGCACTTTCATCTCATCTTTTCCAACCTGGTTCTCAGCATAACATGTATAGTCACCCTCTTCACGCATCCCTACTTCATTAAAAAAGAGGGTTCCATTGTCAAAGACAACATACCTGCGACTTCGACTGCCAACATTACGTTCAGATTTCACAACACTGTTGATCATGGTGCCATCAGGCAATGCCCACTGGATTTTAGGATCAGGTAGTCCAGAGGCCACACAGTCAACTTTTAGGTTACCTCCATACATCACCTTCCAATCAGACTTTGTCTTCTGCTCAATTTTAGCAGGTTTTGCCAGGACGTTGACCTTAAAGGGCACAAAATCATCCCCGATTTTGTTGCGAGCAACACAGAGGTATTCACCGTCATCTTTCTCTGTCACAGAGATGATGGATAGAGTACCGTTGGCAGAGACCTTGATCATTTGATCGTAACTGAAATAAAAAAAAAATACAAAAGCATTATTACTGAAGATGTGTGATTCAACCAGTTTAATGTAAAATGTTAGAGTTTTGCTTTTTATTTAGAATGTTGCACCCTTGATTCTTGAGATTTCATAATCAGATGAGCCCCTCTTTTAGAGGAGCAGTTAAAGTCCCCCTGTACTCAATCATTTTATCACTTAAAACTCATCTTTGATCACCAAAATGACATATTTCAAAGTTGTTGTTTTTTTGCTGTAAAAATGTTTTCTTCATACTAGAGTCCTGCGCGGGACTGTTTTCTTCATCCCGCTCCGCTTCTTCAACCCGCCGTATTTCTGACCATTCCCGCCCGCTTCCGCAACGTATGCATTACACTCCCACCCGCAAAACTCTGAGAATTTAATCCCACACAATAATAGAAATGCATTGGTTTTGTGTGTTCTCCCGTCCTGCAGAAAAAAAAAACCATGTATTTGTGTTGCTATTAAGAGATTCATGGGGTTGTTTGTTACGTTTTCCTGGCCTGTATTCTGATGCACTGATCAGGAAGATGAATAGTAGCCTGGCTATCGGGGACATCTAAAACGCTTAGGCTACCGTGCATTTCTTTAAACTTCAAGTATTTTAATTTTAGCTATTGAAGTATTTCGTCATAGGGTTTATTGGTCCTGGATTAAATGTGCAGAAAGCATGTCTGAAAGCAGCTAGCCTCGGAGAACACAGAAAGACAAAACACACATACCGTATTTTCCGCACTATAAGGCGTACTTTAAGCCTTTAGTTTTCTCAAAAAACGACAGTGGGCCATATAATCCGGACGCTCCGCATTATTAAATTCGCCTGCCAACTCGCACTCGTGTCCATCTTATGCCCGCTTTGTCACACGGCCAGTTCAACCTCATATAAATCAGGTTATGTGTGTCTCCCGCTCACGAGCGCTCACTCTTAACAGACACACAAACTGTCCCCGGCGCTGCTCGCGCGTCACAGAATGTTCATCAAGCGCTCCCTGTTCACAGTAACCAGATCGTCTCATTCAAAACATCCAGCTGTTTGCTGTCAGTGAGCCGCTTAGGTTTTGTGCTGTAAATACCTCGTTTGAGGTTCTTTTCCACATCATTTATTGACATCTCCATCATGACGCTAGGCTACCTCACATTCCTCACATTTTAGCCGCCCATTCCCGCCCGCAGCAAAGTTCAAACCGCCCGCTCCCGCGAGATTTGCGTTGGCGGACCCGGCGGGACTCAATCCCAATGCAGCCCTCTACTTCATACCTTAAAACCTTGCTTCATTTAGTATATACGTTCCACTCAATCAACTTACTGAGGTAAACACTGCACAATGGTATCACTCTTTACAGCGTTTGTAATTAATATGATTAGCCTTTTGCTTTAGTCAAACAGCTAATAATGCGATAATAATTTCACACAAACCATGTTCCCATTCACCAACTTAGTCAGACAGCTGCCTTTTAACAATTAGTATCCTAAGAAATGCTTTGAAAAACTCAGAACATCAGTGGAGAAAACCATCTATAGTTCATCATAATATTGTAATATACATCCTATGGAGCGAATTATGTGCCGAAACCTCACACACACACAAAACGTGTTTTACTCACACCCAATGATTCACAAACAAACTCAATGTGGTTTTTAAATACAAAACATCACTCACAAACTAATGCATATTGTTCTGCAAATAAAAAAACGTACCTATCAAACAAATACAGTTTGTTTTACATAATACATAGAAAAGTATTTCTTCAATGACAAAAATATCCTCCAAGTACAAACTAAAATCTTTCAAGTACAAAACAAAAACCTTCAAGTACAAAATAAAATTCTACAAGTTCAAAACCAAAACCTTCAAGTACAAAGCAAAATTCTACAAGTACAAAACAAAATGTACGAAAAACTGTCACGTGACTTTTGGCACTATTTTTCCGCGTCCAGGGCCCAGGCAGATTTTCTCACAAATGCAGTTGAGCAACTTCCTCTTCTAGAACAGTAGATGGCGCTAAGATAGGGGATAGGGGATAGAGGATAATTCACTTATCTTAGAGTGGATTGCTACTAAGTTACTACTAAGTTCTAATGTGGATTTCTGTCTATATAATAAACATTTACCAAAACCTCAATAAGGTTAATTATAGATAAAGTAAGACACCTGTTCACCGCTCATTTTCCCATGGGCAAAGACGAGCATGCGTTTCACATCAGTGTTTCTCCTGAGAGACTAGCGCGAAATTGATCCCCTATCTTAGCGCCATCTACTGTTCTAGAAGAGGAAGTTGCACAACTGCATTTGTGAGAAAATCTGCCTGGGCCCTGGACGCGGAAAAATAGTGCCAAAAGTCACGTGACAGTTTTTCGGACTCGTAGAATTTTGTTTTGTACTTGTAGAATTTTGCTTTGTACTTGAAAGATTTTAGTTTGTACTTGGAGGATATTTTTGTCATTGAAGAAATACGTTTCTATGTATATGTAAAACAAACTGTATTTGTTTGATAGGTACGTTTTTTATTTGCAGAACAATATGCATTAGTTTGTGAGTGATGTTTTGTATTTACAAACCACATTGAGTTTGTTTGTGAATCATTGGGTGTGAGTAAAACACACTTCGTGTGTGTGTGTGTGAGGTTTCGGCACATAATTTGCTCCATATACATCAGCCATCCGCTATATTGCTAAATCTCCCATTTTTCATTTCAACAGAAAAAATATACTGGGATAATCTGGCTTCTCTTCAGACTCCACTGCTTCAGACAATGGTGATATGCTAAAGCCTGTCAGCACATTGACGTGATTGGCTACAAGGTAGTTTGTGAAATAAGAAACACCAGTGATTTCAAACCAAGTTTTTTAAACTGTCTTTATATCACTGCAGTTTTAAGGAGAAAGTACTCAGCAATGGTGTTGACTTATGAATTGGCACATGGTTTGTCTCAAAGCATATTATAAACACCACATAGACCTATTAACACAATTCAAAACTTGATTTTCACCAAAGTGTGACATTAAGAGTGTTTGATTTGAATGGCAAGGGTAACATGTCTCAGTAGTCAAACAGGATGCAAACTTGTGAAAACACACTGTTTAAGTGCATGCTGTAAGGAGTAAGAGTAATGCAGAGGGAGAAGGAAAAAAGGAAGACAGTAGCTATGTGCACATTTTTTCAAGTGTATAAACTTAGTATGTACTTTCCTAGAAAGTAGATGTACTTCAGTGATGTGTTTTCATTACCTGTAGTGAGCATCCACAAGCTTTTTGGACGGAGTCCTCCAAATGATTCTGGGTTCTGGATTCCCTGACGCAATACAGTCCAGGTGCAACCAGCCTCCATAGACCACATCTGTTTTTTTAGGTGATGAGAATGTAATCTTGGCTCTTGAGTATATTATAGACTTCTTTACAGTCAAAATAATAACTCTCAATGCAGTGCCAACCACATTGTTTACTGAGCATTCATACCTCCCTGCATCAGTCGGAGCAAGACTACGAATATAGAGTGTCCCATTGGGGAATACAAACAAGTTACGTCCATTAATAAACTGTGAGGGTCGGAGCTGCATGGCATCAGGAGTGATCCAGCCAATAGCAGGGGGAGGGGCACCCCTGGCAGTGCAATTCAAGTAGGCAGTGCTTCCCTCTGAAAGAGTGACATTCTCATGTCTTGGCTGCTGAATGATGGGTGGCAAGGAAGCAAGAGTCAGTCGAACGGAAATGGTATCAGCACCTGCAGCATTGCTAGCAATACATTTATAAATTCCTCGATCCATGTGACTGACCGATTTCATGTGAAGCGTCCCATTGGGTAAGACTGAGACCATGTGCTCAGGTGTGCCATGAGTAGGTCCACTAGAATGTACCATTTTCCTATCAGGTAGGATCCAGGTGATTCGAGGCTGAGGATACCCTTGGCACTGACACTCAAACTCGACAGTTTCTCCAAGGTATGCAGTGGCTTCTCTATAGCGAGGCTGCAGAATTCTTGGGTGTTCAGCTAGAACAACTAAATTAACTACAATCTTGTCCTCTCCATACTGGTTTTGAACACTGCAGAGGTACTGGCCTCTGTCCAGAGGAAGTACATTGTGGATTATAAGCGTACCATTAGAAGAGACCTCGAATCTCTGAACTCTGCTGTTCTGTGTGATACTAGCTCCTGTAGGAAAAAAAGTGACAAAATTTTTTTAAAGCTACATCATCAAAAAAATATATCCCTACATGCATGTGTCAACAACGTACAGATTTGAAAAGCTAATGGTAACATTTAAATAATTAAAACTTTACCTGTCCTACCTGTAGATACTTTAGTCCAGGAAAGGAAGGGAATGGGTTTTCCCACAGTCACACAAGGCAAATAGGCATCAGTCTCAGCATGTGCTGTTACTGATCTAATGTCTGTGCTGGTGATCCGAGGTCTGCCTCTACCTTCAGGCACTACCGTTGGACTTTGTTGAGGTCCTCCCGATGTGGTATAATGTACATAAAAGCTTCCTCTACCCCGAACACCTGGCCTGCCAGGAAGTTTTTGTTGTTGTAAAGATACTGTTAAAGTTGAGTGAAGTGGTGGAGTTGTGCGTGTGTTTGTAGTGGTCTTATTGTGGATGTTTTCCTCTAATTCTTGAGATCCTTTCTCCTCAGAAGCACTGACTAATTGATAAGGAAATTGTGTGACTGGAAGTCTTCCCCTACTGTATGTTCTGCTTAGTTCTTTCTTACTGTTTTCCTGGCCTGTAGTTACAAATCGGTCTTTGTCACTATCAGGAATGTGATTTGTGTTGACTGGTTCACCTAGCATGGTCACATAAGTGGGTGTATTTGGGTAAAGCATATGTGTATGTACTGTAGGATTCCTCAGGGTTGTTGTAGTTGTTGTTGTGGCAACTATGTTTTCTTTTGTAACAGGAGACACATTATTATTTCCTGAAGGATACCAAGGGTTCATGGATAAAACAGAATTGTGTCTGTTGTGAATGCCACCAGTTGGAAGCCTAATTGGTTTTGTTGTTGCAAGCACTAATGCCGGATAGCTTTTGGTCCTTCCTGTTGGAACATGTGAACTCTTTTGTGCCTCATCAAAAATTGTAGCAGTTGCTGTTGCTGAACCATATAGGATTTCTGAATTATTTTTGATGATTCCATACTGTGTAATTGGTGAAGATGAAGAAAATGACCTTCTTTCAAGCTCTTTGTATGACAGAACTTTTTCAATCTCTGTGGGGTTATATTGGCCGTTTGTTTTGTCTGGACTTGCATCTGGAACTTCTTCTAATTGTGCATGAGAGTCGTTTGACGTTGGGCTTGAGCTGTGGTCTGCTGTAATGTTTCCCTGTTGAGTCTCTTCAAACGTTTTAGCTGCAGGGGTGTGGGTGCTTGTAAACCACTCATGAATGGCTGCCTTCATTGGAGGATTTGGAATATGAGTAGAAAAGTTGGATTTTTTTTCTTTCTCTATGGTTGCTTTTTCTTTTTCACTTCTAAAACTACTGAATGTTGATGAAGACACTAGTACTGTTGTGGTGCTTTTCTCTTGAGCTGGCTTAGCTTGAGATGAGTGTTTCTCCTTTGTCATAGATACTTTTTGTTGCGATAGGGATTTGTGGGTTTTGTGATTCCTGCCACTGTATAAAGGGTCTGTGTTCTCTTCATGAGTCATTTTGCCTAGTGAATCTGGTTGGCTGTCAGTTAATGGAACAGTAGTATTAATCTTGGCTCCTACACTTTTGGCCCATGGAGATGTTTCTATTTTAGTTTGAGAGGAGGCAGTTGTCCTAGTAACGACTGAAAACTCATTTGTGACCTCCGCAATTGAAGCTGAAGTGGGCTGTGGGGTGACATTTGTGACATATACCGATGATTTAGAATTGTTTGTCTTAGTTCTAATTCGATTAGGCTTTCTACGTCTTCCACCATTCCTCCTTAAACTGGATGAGTTCCTAGCATGTGAAGAGGAAGCATTAAGTAAATTAGTGAATGTTGCTTTATGTCCTGAATTGAGTTTGGTGGTTGGTGTCACAGTAAGAAGCAGTGGAATTTTGGAGACATTATGTTTTTCTTGGGGTGTGTGCTTTTGTAAGGTCTGTGGTCCTTGCTTAATTTCAGTAAATGAGTACACAGCAGTTTCTGTACTTGGTTCTGTGACGGGTTTTGCTGTGGCTGATACTAAGCTGTGATGCATCCTTTCCTGATAAACCTCTTCCACATGCTCATGGTTCTGCAAAACCCTGTATTCTTCATCATCTCCACCAACAGAATTTTTAATTGCTTCAGTTACATCCATTGTGTGGCTTTGGTTTTCCTGTAAAGAGGTTCCATATGATGTTGTGCTCCACACAGTGCTCCCTGCAACTACATCTGCAACCTCTGAATCTCTCACAGTAAAACGGGTCATCTGTGGTCCAACTGTGGGTTGTGTGATATATGTGCTAACTGTAAACAAATCTGAATTTGAGTCTGTTTTAGGAGCTGCTATCTGGTAAATAACATATCTTGCATCCTCAGAATCCAGAGCTTTTATATCCAAGTTGTGCTCAGTGGCCTCAATAGGCATTTGTGTCATTTTAACTGAGTACAATACTTCCTTTACTGGTGCCCTTGTTGTTGTACCTTCTGTAGATGATCTTAATGGTTGCTTTGTGTAGGCAGCCTCTGACTCCTGTATTTTGTGTGTACTGGTCTCAAAATAGTTTGGACTAGTTGTTTTTGAACTGGTTCCACCACTGCGAACTTTGGCCAAAATGTTAGCCCAGTGCTTTGGGTCTATTTGGTTGTTTGACATGTTAATTCTTCTCTTTGACTCTACAGTGTTAACCCCGTCCACTACTGGGGTACCTATTCTCCTCCTTGGTGTAACAGGGCGTCTCCAGGAATTCCTAGATGGATGGCCTCCCCTTATTCCCATACTTGGGACCCTCCGCCGATTGGGAAAATCCACTTGCGTAGGAAGCGCTTTCTCTAAAAACTCTTCAGGTTCATTATCCCCAGATGACTCCACATAATTTTTCACAAGAACTTTTATTTTGGTTGAAACTCCCTCAGCAGGTTGAGGGTTGCTGGAGTACTTCCGTAAGGGAATAATACCTGGTGGCCTAGTTATTATTACTTTTGTGGCCAAAGTGTCCATCCCATGCTGGTTTCCTGCTACACACTTATAGTATCCATTGTCTGAAAGCTGACTGTGTCGAATAATCAGAGTTCCATTTGAAGCCACAAATATCCTGGAAATGTTTGTCCACTTGTTAACAATTCTGCCATCAGGGAGAATCCAGTATATATCAGCATCAGGGGATCCAGTGGTGACACATGGAAGGAAAACCGGTCGTCCTGTTAATCCCGCTATTGGCTCTGTTACTCCTTCACCTCCAGGAGGTGGGCTGGAGGATTCCTCCACTGTCAGGCGAAAGGGAGTATCGTAAGATCATCTGAAACCTGTGCAATACAGTAGTAGACTCCTGAATCAGAATGATCCAGAGATTTGATTTCAAGAACACCACCACTTGAAGCTGAAAGCCTTCTATCAACATTGCTATAAGGTGTTTTTAAAGTAGAGCCATCAGGTAGCATCCATTTAACTGAGTCGTTCCCTGAGCTATGTATGGTACAGTTTATTTTAGCAGGACTTCCCACAAGAGCAGTCTGCATCGTTCTAGTGTTGTTCCTGGACTCAATTATAACCCAGCCCCTACTCTGCTGTCTTATATATTCCTTTTCCATTATTTCAGTCAGATGGGTGCTCAAAATAATTTGAACACTTTTACTTGTCGACCGAAGTCTGTTTAGCTGGAGGTCCATTGATGACTGCATTAACCAGGGTGGGTCAGCTGCTATGTTAGCTTTTACTCCTGTATAGTAAAGAGCATCCTTTTCAACATCTTGCCGATATCTAAAGCTTGTGTAAGGGTCCTTACTTAGCATAATTTCCCTACGAAGGTGGGCTGGAACATCACTATAATATGCAATCAATCTCCACAACTTTTCATAACTGGACCTGTCAATAGCACACTTCAAATCTAACGTCAGAGTCACATTAACTGATATTTGATACTGGTTAACATTGTCCCAGCCTATACTTGGAAGCTCTCCTGGCTCAGTGACAATGCATTCCAGGTCTACTTGATGTCCATGTTCATCTGATAGGCCCAGGGAAATGTTGCCAAGGGGTTGACGAAATTCATCCATCGCCAGGAGGTCACTTTCAGTGTCCTCTGGGGAAATGGCTCTGTGAGAGGTGTGGATGATGGGACTATTGCAAGTGGATTTCTCCAACTCCTGTAGTTGTTTCTTCTTTAGGTGTTTTGGAGAGAAACACATAGGGCATAGCTGGCCATCCAGATAGGCTTTGTCCTTCTTACATTTCAGCACACCTGGAAAGAAAAAGGAGGTGTTAGAAGTGAGCATTCATCAAGATAAAGTAGTCTTATAATTCTAAACATTTTACATTCATTTAATTGTATATAAACCTATGCAGAACTATCATTAGAATATAATCACAAGTGATAATTTATATCATTACTATTTTTAATCATGAAAATAATAACCTGGTGAATTTTTATTCCACTCTTTGAACCATCTCATGCGACAGTCACAGGTCCAGGGGTTCCCATGCAGGGAGAGGTTCTCCAGGTAGGGCATGCCTGCTAGCATCCTCTGTGATAATGTGGTCAGTATATTATCTGACAGGTACAAGTGCTTCAGGGTGGACACTGGGAAGTGTCCATGAATAGAGAAAGTGGAGAAGGTGGCTGGATGGAGCTGCTGAAGTTGATTGCCCTCCAATTGGAGAAGGCGAAGTGACGTGAGGCCTTGGAATGTATCAGGATGGATGAACTCAAGTCTGTTGTGATCCAGGTGCAACCTAGTGAGACTCGAGAGACCAGTAAGGGTTTGCCTGCTAATTACCTCCAGTTTATTATAGCTTAGTTTCAGCATCTGAGGAGAAAGAGGCATTGAACTAAAATGATTTACTTGTTTAAATTACATTTTCATTTACTGTACATTTGAATTCATTGATGTTAATTAATTGCAAAAGTTGTTCCATACATATATGAGGTATCAATGCAAACATAAAGAAGTACAGAATTAATGTTTTCTCATAGGGAAAAATTTGTACCTGAAGGGATACGAGGTCACGGAATGTTCCATCAGGAATTTGATGCACATCATTGCCATGCATTAAAAGAAGCTCCAGTTTTCGTAACTCAGCAAAAGAGCTGTAAGTTATTCTATTTATAGAATTAAACCTGAGTGTACAGAAGGAGGTGACAATAAGATGGTTAATTATGTTGTGATGCAGCAGATTTACCAAATAGAACCCACATTGACATAATTTCAATGTGGGAGTGTAGGGCATCAAAAGGTTTTATCTCAATAATTGTAAGGTTTCCAAATGCCTAGTCCAAAATTAAAAAAAAAACAAAAAAAAAAAACCTTAATTTAGAGAATTAAGTTCCAAAATCATATCATTCTTTTGTAATTGCTTCTTGGTAAACAAGTGAAAACAATAAAACCACACTGACATACACTCAGGCATGGGTCAACTGTATATAGGCTGATTATATCCAAATGGTTTAACTTTGGACAAATGTATGTTCCAGGACAAATGTATGTATTTCTCATACATTTTAGGTAAGGGCAAGTCAAATGTCTTTTATGTTAAAATGTAGGCTATACAATTTTATTAAATACGATATTTTTTTTTGACAAAAACAATGGTTTGTTTTGTTCATTATTGTTTACATTTGCTTTGGTTAATAAAATAATTTTGTTTATGATAATCTTTTTACTGTTTTATTTTATTTTAATACAAAACAGAAAATGATCACTTTATGTGACAATTCAAGGAACTGGATCTTACTCTTGGGTAAGATCAGTGTAAATGTAACATTTCTAGCCTATAAGACATTTCTAAACATACAATTAAATATAAACCCACACACAACTAGCCCCTGTTTACCCAATGAAGTCTCAAATCCTTCCTGGGGCAGTCCTAAACATCATAGTTGTAGGTCACCTGAAAAGTGGTCGAAATATCCCCGGCATTTGACATCATCAAGGGAAATTCCCACTAACCTTCAGATGAACCCATTTGGATTCAACGCTTTAGTTTAAAGCAACGAGTAGCTAATACAATCCAGTTTCTGCATGCGATGACCAGAATGACAGTCCCTCTACAGATCAGTTTTGGAATGGATGTGCTAAAGTGTTCTACGAAAGCTGATTATAGAAAGTTGAGATTGAACGCACGCAGTGTCTAGGAATAAAAATTTCGTGTCACAGAATAGTTAATCTTACCCCAAATTCATCCGCTCCACCTGTTTGGGCACGCCAGCAGGCACCGTGAGTAAGGAGCGGAACGTGCAGTGCACCTCTGCGGGCTGGTGGCACGCACATGGCCTCGGGCAACACCGTACATATACAGGCAGTTCTACTAACACCAGCATCATCAAAACCTGAGCATAAAAGCGACCCATCTTCAGCCTCACAGCAGCAGCACCTTAAACTGCAAAAAACGCATCTGTTAAAGCAAAATACTTACTTTCACTTGTGATTTCTAAGATAAAGTCTGCAAGCACAATTGCACGTCCAGGAGCAAAATAATATACTTAAAGATATGTATCTATCTTTGTTTGCTGAGGAATGAATTAATGTCACAACAATCATACAATAATAAAACTGTATTTTTTGCTTTAAAATACGTTATGGAGCGCTGTTGTAGTAGGCTACCGATATCATTCAAGACAAGAGTTACTGGAAAGAGGAAAAAGCAAACCTTTGTTAACAGGAGTAACAATTATTTCAACAATCCGGCATGATTTGGTCCACAGCATTCCTTAAAATTCCATCTCCAGAAATCATGTAATAGTCCATTCACTTTAGGATGCAAATTCTCCACTGATGATGAAAAAGATGAAAATGTTTTCATTCATTAAGGTTTTAATTGTTGTCGTTTTTTTTTTTTTTTTCTCTCAATCCAATATGACAACAATTGCTTATATTCCGATGCGGGGAAACGTCAAAAAAGTATAAACAAATCCCTAAAATTTTAGAGAAAGGCTATATTTGAGAAGCGCATTGTAGACTCCAGCTGTGAAGCTGCGCGTTATGTTGGAAACGTGAGAATGAAACTTTCAGATGACGCTGGCGCGCGCGTCGATGACTCTACGCGCACATCGGTGGGAGTGACCGACTGTGAGCCTTTTACACGCGTTCCTGAAAGTAATGTTTTGGATGAGACGAACAGCTGCCGAAATAAGCACACACAGTCCAGACAAAAGGTAGTGTATTAATGTCAGTTCAATGCTAAAACTTGGCAGTATCTACAAACGCAAACATGTATGTGTTGTTATGGTAGCTTTGAAGTGATCGCATCCCCCACTTTTCTTTTTTCCATGCATGCTGTTTTGACCCTTAAGGGTTCAGACTGAGACTCTATATAAGTAAAGGTTACACAAGGTTCAAAGCCTTGTTTTTTCTCTCTTGACTGATCATAGACCCTCATATGCCACACACACACACACACACACAGACAACGCATGCTCTAAATTGATGCATGAAGTCCCCTGAGTTCACAAGGCATCTGCATTTGGAGAAGAAAACGCAGGGGACTAGCAAGGGCAAAGGTCAGAAGCTCCTGCCCCTGTTATTGACCACTTGGGAGATTCCATACATCATATTGCGTAATTTCAAGCAGAAAGCACACCTGCTTAAAAATTACATGTATCTGCAGTCATCTTGATGGAAAGAGAGGTGAGCATAAACAGATTATGATCACAATGAGAGAGGAATGAAATCAGAATAAAAACAAAATGTAATCACCTTCAAGAAAGGAACTTTCTTTGTTTGGGGGATATTAAACAAAACCTCCCATCAAGACACATCAAATAGAATAACAGTAAATACATTTACAATGTTATTGCTTTTTAACTTTCTATTCAATAAAGTTTTTTTTTTTCTTTTATCACAATTTCCAGATAGTAACAACAACTGTTTTCAATAAAATATGAAGAAATGTTTCAACATTGGAATGATTTCTGAAAGATCATTAAGACTGAAGTAATGATACTGAAAACTGAGGAACAAATTGCATTTTAAATTATATATATATGGTTATGTTAAATTCGATTATTAAATGCAGTCTTGGAGAGCACACAAAACTAGTTATAACTTTTTTAGTTTTGTATTTTGTATTTGTATTGTATTTTGCTTCAGTATGTCACACAGTAAGACTAGAATTGTGCATTAAAGGGTTAGTTCACCCAAAAATGAAAATTATGTCATTAATGACTCTCATTAATGATGGGTCATTAACGACCCTCATGTCGTTCCAAGCCCATAAGACCTCCATTCATCTTCGGAACACAGTTTTAGATTTAGTCCGAGAGCTTTCTGTGCCTCCATTGAAAATGAATGTACGGTATACTGTTCTTGTCCAGAACGGAAATAAAGACATCAATGTGGTCCGTGTGACACCAGTGGGTTAGTTAGAATGTTTTGAACCATCAAAAATACATTTTGGTCCAAAAATAACAAAAACTTTAAATAAAAATTGTATTGTCCTTCGGTTCTGTCCGCAGTGATGCTGCTGGCGTAAGACGCTGCTGACGTGTTCTCTGGTAACCAGTAAACTGAGAACACATCAGCAGCATCTTACGTCACCAGCGTCACTGCGGACTCGTGAACGCAACACCGGAAGACAATACAATGTTAAATAAAGTCGAATTTTTTTGTTATTTTTGGACCTAAAATGTATTTTCGATGCTTCAAAACATTCTAACCCCCTGATGTCACATACTTTGATGATATCTGTATTTCCTTTCTGCACAAGAACAGTATACTGTGTATACATTTTCAATGGGGGGACAGAAAACTCTCAGACTAAATCTAAAACATCTTAAACTGTGTTCCGAAGATGAACGGAGGTCTTAGGGGCGTGATACAACATTGATTTTCATTTTTTGGTGAACTAACCCCGAAAGTAGGTTTCCCTTTTGATTTCAAGACAACAGTTTGAAGAAACTTTGATGTTTAGGTCTTTGTGTAAAAACATTGCAAGGGAAAATTAAAGTGATTTATGAACTCACAGTTCAGTTTTTATAGTCAGAAAGGTTAACAAACCATGAAAATAGAGAAATTCAATTCTTCATTCACAATCAGGACATTGTTAAAAGGTAATCAAAATAGTCTTACATGGTGACTGGTTTCTTAGTGAGCACATTCCTCTAACAACATGCTCAACTAATTTCCATTTAATGTTCTGTGACCTCCACATGTCATTTGTTTAATGGCAGAATAATTTCTAAACAGTGAAAGAACCTGAGGTCAGAATCTTTTAATGGGACACTATGCAGGAATTCCGTTTATGTCAAACAGCGACCCCTAGATTCGTTGTGGAGTACTTGTATTTAACGTTACTGTCTTAAATAACACTCACGCAGAGCAAGACATGGTGTGACCTGTTACATAGTATACAATAGTAAAATCGTTTACTGGGGGAGACGGCCACCATTCAATCTGAAAGAAGTCATATAACCATTTCACTAACTCCGAAGCTGATCAGTTAAAGGTAGAATACCTAAGATTTTTGCATTCAAATATCCCAAAATCACAAGGCTAGTGTTATATATTTAGTTATGATGATAACTCACAATATTCCAAATGTTTCAAACAATGTTTAAATCGCGAGAAAATTGAGATTTTAACCAAGGAAACGGGGCGTATGAGCAGGGGTGAGCTGGGAGTCGGCAGTCAATCGCGTCATATCCGCTTACCTCGGTTTCCGCTCGTACTACGTGTAGTCCTGGACAAATGCGGTAGATGTAGTTGTGCGTTAGCGTCTATCAAGCAACAAACGTCAGCTTGTTTCGCGCATTTGTTATGGAATGGAGCACAATTATTCTTTTCATTTATTCTCAGAATGTGAACTTTTGGCTGTAAAGGGGGTCACACACCGGACGAGAAGCGTCATGCCACGTTTAGGACAACTCCACAGTAACGTTATCGAACACCGGACGCGCACTTTCTCATCAGTGTATGGCCAGCAATACTGTTATGTTTAATGACATGAAATGAAGATAATGTCTTTTCTATGTTATGATTGTACTGTACAATTAAATACAATCGTTGCTGAGTTTGCATTCTGAAAACTTTACCTCAGAGCATCCGTTCACTGAATGAATTGAGAATCTCACCTGAAAAATCTAATAATAACATCAGCAATTGTCATTCAAGCAGCTGATTTCTGTAAATGACTGCAAAACTAAATGCATATTGCAGCATAGGGCGAAGTCAGGATCCATTAGCAACGATTTGAGACAAAAATAATTAAAATTTTATATAAAACTATGTAAATGGCGCTCTGTGGCGCAGCAGGATTTTGAACACTGTCCTGAGGCGTCGTTGCTGGGCGCCGTGGACAGACGCCGAATGGCGCTGCCGGTATGTGTAACGTTACACTTATAGATAATAATATTTTCGAATTTTAAAGATGTGGCGCGACACGGCGCTGCAGCTTCTCGTCCGGTGTGCGACCCCCTTAATGTTAATTTTGTGAAACTGTAGCTGTGGTTGAATACTTACACGACATGAAAAGATGTGTCAAATGTACATTAAATTGATTTTTTATTTTTATAAAGTTACCAAGGAGGACCAGCCACGTCAACTCCTTGCAAGAGACCTGCCCCTTCAAACCCTCTCCACCATAGCTTCGTCCAGTGACTCGTACAGTAACTTATTTACTTTTAAACCTGACTTTTCTTGCGGTTATTTCAGTTTAATGAAAAACAAGCATGTCATTAAACACAACGTTTATAGAAATCGAATTTTACCTCATCCATGACAACTAATTTTCGATTCCCGTCTGACTGATTTATCCACGGTGGAGTTGAAAACAACAGTTCCCATCATTCCGCGTTCCTCCACGTTGTCATCAAGCAAAGCCGTTGTTGTTGTTTTGAATGTAGCGCCCTCTAGCGGCATCTAAATCTTAGGTATTGCAGCTTTAAGCTAAAAAGTAAGCATAGTGTCCCTTTAACAACTATTGATTGAGTGGTTACAAAAACAGACCTCACTTTAAGAAGATAGAAATGACTCATGCTTTGTCACAGACCAATCATACACCACAGACACGCTGAATGCTCTTTGACTACAGCAGTCAGATGAACTAGTGCACCTGGAGCAGACTGTGAGTTCATCCACCATAGCCTTCGATTCACACACTGCACATAAGCAGGCTCACATCATGCTGAATCAGCCACCCTGACCTAACTTCAACTTTCCAAAACAAATTCTGGCTGCGTGTAGCATAATGTGCATATATTTATCACATAAATACAAGAGTTGGAAAATGAATGTGCACTATGAAAATATAAGGATGAGCAAAATATCTATAACAAGTGTACAATTAAAGGCTTAATTAAAAGTGCTCATGCACTAAAAATAAAGATCTAAGCTTGTTGTAAATTTGTTATGTCTGAGACATGATTCAGCTTAATAACAGAGGCATGAGGACGTAACATGTTTACAGGTTTTGCGGTCAAAGGTGCTTTGTTAAGATTATAATCAAAGGACCTTTTTTGTTATAATTTAAAATTAACATTAAAGGGTGTGCACAAAATTTAACAAAAACCTGTATTGGGTTAATACTATTTTGGTGTAGTGGGAGGCATCAAAACTTTGCACCTGTTTTTCCAGACACTGTTTTGAAAGCAAATGTAGCTACCATTGAACAATGGATCTACAGTATGCAGTGCAGACACAATCCACCTGGTTAGCACATGTTACCAGTGGTCCCTGAGCGGTAGTTCATCTGACATGGAAATGACCTAAGGACCTAGTGCATGCATGATATCCTTACAAATACTCCTCAGGTGTAGTAAAAGCTTTGTTTTAGGCAGGTTGAGATCTTCATACATCATGTAGAAAAAGACTAATGTTCATTCAGTGTCCAATTTAATTTTAAATTTAAACAAATTGTGGCAAGTTGTAAAATACAATTAATGAATGGGTGAATGAACGGATAAACAAACATTAGTAATTATCGTATTTAATGATTTTTTTTTAATTACGTGTTACTTAACTGGTTGTAACGTTGAGGCAGGAGTGAAGTGGAGAGAATCCAAGTGCAAGCATTAATTCAGCTAATGTGTAAACCAAAAGAACATGAACTCAGGACAGGAGCAAGAAACAGCTACAAACAACATTGAAGCACAGAGTTTTAAATACACAGACAAACAAGCTAAACAAGATAACAAGGGGGCAGGGCTAATTAGAAACACCTGGAGAGATTAACAAACAAGAAAAACTACAAAGGACTACAAAACATGGAACAGGAAATAACAAAAGTCCACACGAAACAAGGAAAACACAAGACAAGATTCGTGACACTGGTATTGTGGCGCTTTTCCACTGCTGGTACGGCTCAGTACGGTTCGGCTCCGTGCGGCATGGTTCGGCTCGCTTCGCTTTTCCACTGTGTGGCACGACTCGGCTCGGCACGGCTCGGCTCGCTTTATCTCGGTTTGCTTTTCCACTGCAGTTATTACCGCTTCAAAGTGCACTCTTCGGCAACCAACGAGAGGAACGTCTGCACTTCGTCCACAGACCACGATTCAGCTATTTTTTTTTTGGAAGTTTTCTTTCTTTCTTTTCTCTTCAAGCAAGTACTATAGCGACTGGCTATTTAAATCTAGCGGATTTGATGTCTCGCAAATACAATGACGCTGGTAGTGACGATTCTGTCTGACTGACCAAACAGTGATCTGCAGTGTGTTCATGTCACATTTTAGTGTCTGTACAGTACGCTTGCAACCTCAACAGAGGTGGTACCATTTAAAGCGAGTCGAAGCGAGCCGCACCGTACCATGCAAGCGTCAAAGCGTGCCGTACCGAACCGAACCATACCGTACCATGCAGTGGAAAAGCACCATTGTTCAGATACAGGTAATATATTTTTTGTTGTATTTATCATTTTTATTTTCTCCAGCATTACCCACAGCAGCTGTGGCAGATGTGAAATATATCACGTTTTATCTAACCTCAGATCATCTTTTTCCATTTTTATCATCTGAAACAGAATTGTGTTATTAATTTCCTCCTGCAATCATCAAAAAGTAACAGTTGCCCATTTGCTCTGCTCCCAGATCAGTGTCCTTGCTTTAGAAATTGAAAAGGAAACAGTAAAGCTAGCCTTGGATCAGCAAAAGGCAGCTGCAAGCAATGATCTATATTTACCAGACTCCCCTGTTTGACCATCTGGCCTAAAACCGACCTTTAGAATACAAATAATAAACACCAATATTTAGACAATGAAGTCCTGTTATTTTCACTGGTGGTCTGACCACAAATGTTAAAATGACTGCGAGACAAATGATCCTATAATGGGTAAAGTAGCTTTATTTTTTTTTATTGGCATACTTCTAATAAAGGATTATGTTTTACAGATTTTTGTCAAAACATGCTAAACAAACATGCTAGGAGTCCTGAAATTAATAGCCTTTCACTTCTGTGATTACCATGACTCTTGAAATATTTCCAGCCTTATCTTAGCTTTAATGAAAACAGGAGTGATGGACATTTAAAGGGCATATCTGAGAAAGAAAAGAGTATGAAGGCAAGCACTGACAAGACAGAAATGAAGATGTGCCTTTTTAGTCAGTCTTTCTGTATTTGCTTTTGGCACTTTACTGTAGAGCAGACTATGTGGTCTGTCAGTTTTAAATCGTAGCATTCAGGTTTATTGGCCATTGCCCTGAATTCTCACATTGTCTTTTGTCTTGCCGTTCTGGCCTAGATCCCCAGGGCCTCCACATGGACAGGACTGTATAATAAACAGCCTCCCAACCCACTGAGTGCAGCTGGACTATTGCTAGAATCCAGACAAAGAGTGGAAAACCATGGACACTTCAACCTACAGAGAAACACTTGAAACTGTAAGGCTATAAAGAAAATAATAGTTAAAGAAACTTGAGCTGTTAAGTTTGTGCACCAATAATGTGCCAACAGAACTGCTGTTTTTCAAACAGGTTTCCTAAACCTTTTCCTGCTCACGCCATTGGTTGAGCCAAAGTTGCTGTGTTGACTAATCAAGGGTGTGTTTCCTGTACAATTACATAACTCGCTGTTGAACCACTGTAATATGAATTGTTGGATAAATTAACTAGCAAGTCGCAAAACTGTTGCAAGGGCACACCTCTGCCATTCAGGTCTGCAATTTGTGAAGTCCACATGCAAGTCATGGACTTCACAATTGCTTTCAGATTATTTTTGCTTTCGATGTTTGATTCATTGAGGTTTTCCTCTTGCGCATTTGAAATGTAACCAATCACAGAAATATTTGTTGATCTCTTGAACGCAATGGCCAATCAGTGGTGTTTAATTTATTCAGAATACACTCATCGGTCAAAACATGCAGGAAAAAAAATAGTAGGCTAAATCGAGCTCATGATTTAGGCTATTAATTTGTTCCCTCCATTTACTAAATCGCATGCACACTTACAACTTTGTCCCCTCGATTTGTAAATCGAGAGCCGATTGACTATTTTATTCTCTTGATTTTCTATAGTGTGCAACAATTCATAAATGTAGGGAACAAATTAGTAAATCGTGCACACGTCATGTGCGGAGCTCCGTAGATTCATTATCCAGTGTAAAAAACTTTAATGTTTTTTTTTTTCTGAGATGAGTGACAGCTTTGTAGTGATAGGGACCACTCTTTGCGCCCTTTCGAGGCTGTAAAATATATATATATATATATATATATATACTGTATATTATATTGTAATATAGTATATTTTCACATTTAATATCCAAATTAATGTAGAAACTGTCATGTTGTAGCTAAGCGCAGTGCCAAACAGGAACACAGTGAAAAAGATGAAGGTAAAACAACTCTTATTTAACAGAACGAAAGCATCCCCAAACTCAACAAAAGCGTTAACGACAACCGACAAAGAGAACTGAAAACAGGCATATAAATACACAGGCAAACTATAACTATTAATGACAGCCAGACAGAATAACAAAATCATATCAATTACCATGACATCTAAAGACTGACAGGGATTTGAAGAAAAGCATAGACAGTAAAAGAAATGGGCACAGCGACCCCATAGACTTCAACAGAGAAAAGTGAAGTCAATTTGAAGCACTCACTTCCTGATTGCCAAGCGCACTGTGCACTGCCAAGAGGAATCTGAATCATTCCCTTAATAATCTTGCAGAGCCAGAGAGAGTGAGTATTAGCTGCCCATGGGCTAGCAGCAGGAGCAACTTTATGACTCTCTATGGGCTTCTCCCTTGACTTTATGCCTCCACGTCCCCCTGATTGCCGACGAGTTTCTCCTCCTGTCTATACAGATTCGCGTTACGACACAATCGTTAGCCTATTTTTACAAAAACTGCTACTACTGAGCCATAACGTAAGAAACAAGGTAGAGACGTTTATACATTGTCGTTTTTCTTTAGTAAACAATGGACAAATGGAGTTTTTAAATGCCTCAGATATAAAGTTATTCACTGTCAAAGTGATGCCAAAATGAATGGGAGTCAATGGAATGCTAGCAGCAGGTGAAGGCTTGTTAGCCAATGGCGGCCCCCAGGGGGACTTCAGTTTCCGGTTGGTGGATTAACTCCTTGACCAAAGGAGACTGAATAGAAACTTAAACTCCATGAAAGTGAAACTAACACAGACATAACTGATAATATGTTACAGAAACAACAAAGGTATTATATATATATAAAAAAATGTGTTGCATTGTTATGGCATTATTATGAATAAAGGCCAGAATCACAAAATCAATGCAACCATATTTGGCTATCGATGGTTTTGGGAAACGCACTCTATAGGGTGATCAAACAAATGCCACTGTAGTGTAGAGTTTATGTCAATTTCTTTATGGTAATCAATCAAGAAATATATATATATGAAGAGTTCAGATGCAAAAGCCTCTAAATGCTATTTGAAATTTTCTTCTTTAATGATGATTTTTATCAAACTTGTATATTTAAGTTCAGTAATTTCACTTAAAATAACAATTAATAGGTAATTATCATTGCCATTTAAGTGAAATCACTGAACTTAAATATACAAGCTTGATAAAAATGATCATTAAAGAAGAAAATTTCAAATGGCACTTAGAGGATTTTGCATCTGAACTCTTCATATATATATATATATATATTAATCCAGCATAATCAGGGATAAGATGTAGCATTTAAAGATCACAGAGAATTACATTAAAAATTTCTGGGAAATGTGTTTGCTGCTTGTTGTATTAAGACAATGCATTGTACAATACTGAACTGTTCTGATGTTCTTCCAATGCTTTCATAATGCTTTTCAGCTGAGTCAATATTTATCCAGAAACTTGTAGGAAAACACTGCGTATCTAAGTCACATAATCAAGCTTTAGGCAAATGATTCACAGAAACTGTGCACAGTTTCCTTTAGTGTGCACATTTATCTGTCATATAAAAGCTAGTTTGATAAATATAGACCTGATCTCATATTAAAAAAAACCCTGAATAAATCTCAAATAGAATTGGCACATGCAATCTCTCTGCAATGAAGGTAAGAAGATCTCTTCACAAACACATCTGACTTTAGCATGGAGAAAAGATCTTCTGCATCTCACTAGTCCATCAAAACAGCAGTTGAATCTCCAGGAAGGCAAACTTTATATGAGCTTACTCACAAATGCATTTTGCCCCACTTTTAGTAATGAACAGCTTCCTGCAACAACTAAATCACATGTTGTCAGTTTCAAAATAACACCTGGTCTTGTTTAATGTGATATAAGATGATAGTAAATCACATAACTCTGTGTACTACTGAGAGATCATGGCCAAGGTATGTGGAAACTACTGGATGTGATTGCACACTAAACCAAACATGCCCTGGCACATTCGGTTTTTTTTTTTTTTTTTCACAGGTTAAAGTTAAATTATGGAAATCTCCAGCCTTATCCGGGTCTTACATTAGTTTGTGTCCTCTAGAGGGATTTTACTTTCTTTTTTACAAATTCAGTCTCCAGACGGAAGCAGACCCTGTGTATTCTGATTAAAACACTTTAATGAAGACCATCTGTGGTGTGGCACTGAAATGAATACCTTTCTTTCCAGGTTGTCACAGAAATTGAACTAAAAATGAACTCTTTTTTAAGTGATGCTATGTAAGTAGACAACATTTGAAAGATAATACAAATTGATCTGGAAAGAATGAGCATTTTTTATTAGTTTTTTTTTTTTTTTCTTTCTACAGCTCTGAATTTTTGAGGTAAGAAAACTTAATTGATGCAAATGTTGAACCCCAGTGACTGGAAAACATCTCAGGTCAAAGCTAGACTATAAATCAGGATTATCCCAGAAACCCCAGATTACACAGTGTAACATATTTTCAACATGTCTGGCACAGATCACAAACAGATGCTAAGCACATGAAATGCTCTACTGTAAGTGCAGGATTATTAGAACAGATACTGTACCTGTAGCAGCAGTAATGACTTAAACACAAACCTGCTCACATAATTAACTCAACAGCTGTAGAACACATTCAAGGAATGCATTTCAAAACAACCACCTCAAAGAACAATGGACACTTCTTAAAGGAGAACTCCGGCGCAAAATGAACCTTTGGTCTAATTACACATTGCTACCTAGTCAACCTTTCTCTGAGATTTGTTTTCATGATTGCCGAATGTAAATAGTTTTATCTCTAAAAACAGTTTAGCCTATAACGCTAGTATAACGCTAGTATATGGGGCATAGAGTAATGACAAATAAAAATCGCTTGTTTTTACCACTAACAAGGCTCAAAATAGCCCCACACCAACACGACAGCATAACAAGGGTCCCTACATTCAAACCGAAGCATTGAGAACGTTGTTAGTGTCCATACAGTTTAATAAGAAGATATTCTATACACACAGTCAACTTCGCGAATACAGGAAGAAGCCATCTTTGAAAAAAAGTCTCTACCAGTCGATCTACGAACGCCGATCCATGTGCGCTGAACTGTGCAGAATCTCATATGGTCCGTTGTTTCCAGAAGAAACACAAACACAAACCATTTTCTTCTCTTCAATATGTACACGTAGCCTACTGTTTGCGCTCATTTTATCACCTTATTCACATCTCACCAGCGCACTTGGATCGGCGTTCGTAGATCGACTAGTAGAGACTATTTTTCCAAGATGGCTTCTTCCTGTATTCGCGAAGTTGACTGTGTGTATAAAATATCTTCTTATTAAACTGTATGGACACTGACAAAGTTCTCAATGCTTCGGTTTGAAAGTAGGGACCCTTGTTATGCTGTCGTGTTAGTATGGGGCTATTTTGAGCCTTGTTAGAGGTAATAACAAGCGATTTTTATTTGTCATTACTCTATGCCCCATATACTAGTGTTATACTAGCGTTATAGGCTAAACTGTTTTTAGAGATAAAACTATTTACATTCGGCAATCATGAAAACAAATCTCTGATAACGGTTGACTAGGTAACAATGTGTAATTAGACTAAAGGTTCATTTTGCGCCGGAGTTGTCCTTTAAGCTGTTCTAAGCTGTTCTGTTTCTAAGAGATCAAATCTGAACATAAACTTCCTAATGAACCACTAAATGGTGTAACAGGCTTATTTAACATCTGCTGTAGACCAGCCTGTCCACCAAAGTCTGATCAAGTGAGAATTATTTTTTCAGATAAGCTTCCAGAGCAGTTGTTTTAAATTATGATTTTGATTAAATGATTTCTGGATCTTCTTATACATGGTTGGGGTGCACCGGATATGGTCTACTATAATACGGTAGTTCTCTGACTGATCTATATTTCTCTAGTGAATAAATCTGCAATCCCTAATTCTGAATGCTTAAGTTTAAAATTGCAAAGATTGATATCACACCATTGCAATTTTTTAAAAAAATTTTTAAAAACACCTCTTGTCTTGAAGTCTTGTCAAATATTAACTGAGAAAATTTGGATTCTTAACAGATGTGCCTCTGAACAAATCCACATGGACTCCTTTGGAGGAATGTAGTGAAAGGCGAGAATGTGGAAAAAAAAAGTTTTTGACCCCCAGAGGAAGTGACCCTGATAGGATCAACACACAGCTGAGGATCCACAGAGGGGGTGCTATGGGAGATTAATTAAATTACAGAGCTTTTAAATGAATTTCATATATTCCTCATTAGTGTAGATCAACTGTGTGATGATGACATTAAGATACGATCTGGAAGCATACATTCAATTAGTTTTATCTCCTCGTGTGGCAGACATTAATGTGGTTGCAATATCACACTTGACAGCCAGTGTTGAAATAAAGTTGTGTTGACCTTTTGCTTCTGGAACTAAAGAAACTTGATGTCTGTTTAATGACAGAGAAAGCAAGACATGTCTATCGGAGTGTCCATCAACAGCAGCCCAGAATATTTATAAGAAAAATAACTAAAAACGACAGCAGCAGTCCAATCAGATTGGAAACCAGTTTTTTGAAATCGCCTCACTGTTATTTGGAATCAGTTACAATTGCATGCTCATTTCCGATTGCATTTACAGTAACTGTTTTGCACGTGTGGCATGTGTTGTATGTCACTTTTGTTTTCTTGAGCAAAATGGACAACATAAATGGCGATTGTAGTCTGATTAACAAAGGTGAGCTACAATCACATTATCCAGGTCTGTAAGTCCAACTTCGCAAAACAAGGACTAATACGATCTTAAGTAAGACTAAACATTCACATGACATATTAAAAAGACAAATTCAGGTTTTTGTCCAATTGAAATCGAGTTCTCTCAAAAGGCCTGTAAAGGCCTAGCCTGGTTCAACCAGACTCTAGTTCATTTCATTTCTGAAGTAAAATGAAATTGAGCGGAAGTGCGTAGGAGGGCGCAGCCAGGCTAGTAAAGGCCTGGTCACACAATCAAAAATGTGTCCTGTTTGCCATGAAAATGTGTCTGATTTTCACATGCCCTTTGTCTTCTCTGACATGTGACTAAAATATCACCTTTAAAGCATGGGGATGTTCATGTTTATTCATTCAAATGAAAATGTTTATTGTTGGTGTTTATGGGCCTTAAATGTAATTCATGGAACAGACCAACCTTTCTCAAACAAAAAACTTTTCTAACTTCACTTTTATTATTTGTTGGATGAAGAATTAGGCAAAACAGATAGCTAGTTACTCCGAACCTCAGTTTTGATGTTTAAAGCTACAAACGCAACTAGGCTTTGTTAAGATGTCCTTGGTCACACTTCAAAGAGGAAGAGATGGTGAACGAATGGCAGTTTACCTGCAAGGCAGTAATAACAGGGTGATGACAGGGGTCGACCTTTATCGGAGTCCATGTTTGCATAATAACTCTGTTCTTCTCTTGATTTCATTAAATCTCCTCCATGTGGCACAACAGCTATTTAGTCGGTTAAAGTAAAATTGAAGAAAACTGAATCACTCAATTAATCTGTATAAAGTGTTTGTATCAAATACCATATTTCTGTCGTCAACATATAAACATACTTCTGTTAAGAAATGAAATCAACCTGTTGTCACTGACCTGGAAATGTCTAATCTGACTTTTAAGGAAACTGCACTCAGAAACAAGCTGGGTTGATAGGAAGGCCTCAGGCAGTGCTTAAACTTGCAGTGTGTGCTGATGGTATGATAAATCTTTGGATTGTCTTTCAGCCATGAGCTTTAGTTTTATGTTTCCTCTCTCAAAGCTTAGACTATGCCAGAATACACTTCACTTCTGCCAGGGCATGACTCACTTTTGTCTACTGGTGCCTGTTGAGCATGTCAGTGTGTCAAAAACTGTGGGGCTTTTATAGGGGATTAAAAACAGAACGACAGCTGGGACACTGCATTCACCATAAACACATTAAATTGTATAAAATAGAATTGTGATCACACTTTATACTGCAGCATTCATATCATTCTGTTTTTCCATATAGTATTGAAATATGTCGCCTGCTCATTCATTTTTCTAAGCTATATCAACAAACTTGATGCAACAGATTATAATGACACAGAGGTGCCATTCTAGGTGCATTATGTGTCCACGTCCACATGGCCAGATGACACCTGTGTATACAGCGTGAACAGACCAAAGTTCTTGACACGTCAGATTGGTGCACCCTTGAAAAATTCAAGTGTGCTTGTTTTGAAATTCTGCATTCTATCTTATTCTATTGTCTCTGTTACTTAGTTGGCACAAAGCACAAGTCATGCCTTTTAAGCATATTTCGCCCATAGACTGTAAAAAATAGATTTGCCTCAGTTTCGCTATATGGACGAGTAAAATACTGGCAACAATTTTTAATGTAAAATGGCTTGATATTGTCAGAATGTGGCCATTTTTTACAGCAAGGGTTAACAGTGCAGTTATTATCAATAAAACTGTCAATAAGGGTGAAAAATTTCGTCCTGTGTGTTCCGTCTTTTAAACTTCTCCTCAACGTGCATGCAGTGTAAATAAAGCAGTTGCATCAATGAAATGATAGTAGCTAAAGTTAGTCCATGGCCACACCCCTGTGCTAATGGTACCACCAATTTGTGCAATGGTGCAAATTATGTGCAATGGTGCACCAATGGTACAAATTACAAGACCAAAATTAAAAAATCAGTTAGATTTCATTTATTCAAATGTTTGTTTCTGAAGTCACAATTTAGCACAAGTAAAATTGAAAAAAAAAATGGAGAAAAAGGCAACTATCCATTGATAATGTAACTGGAAAAAACAAGAAAAATGAATGTCTTGTTTCCATTTTTCATTTTTTTCATTTGCATTTTATGGTCCGAATATTGAATTGTGAAGCGTCACATGGACCCTTTACTTCCATGCTGTTATGTTCTGTATTTACACATAATTGAGATAGAAATGATGTATAGCGGGAATTGATGATATTTACTATTGTTTATGTACAGTACTTGTTTTTTTTTTATTAATTCTTTTTTTTTCGCTATCAGATGCTGTACTTGTATCATAATTCTGTAAAATGATTGTTCAATTCAATTCTTGTTTGCACTTCGAGATTATCTTTGTTTAGTTGTGATGAAATAAAGCAGCATTTAGATCCTCACAATATCCTGAAGTGGTGTGAACACTTTTCTATTTCTTTGTATGTCTGGTTTATGTGAAGAAATTGACAATAAACTTGATCTTGACAATAAAGTTGATCGTATATTTGTTTGGTTTTCTACTACAAGCAACGCAACTTGCCAAAACATACTTAAAGGGATACTCCGCCCAAAAAATGAAAATTCTGTTATCATTTACTCACCCTCAAGTTGTTGCCAACCTGTATGAGTTTATGTCTTCTGCTGACCACAAAGGAAGATATTTTGAAGAACGATTGGAACTTTAGCACCATTGACTTGATTTTTTTTTTTTCTATGGAAGTCAATGGTGACAAACGACTTTTTGGTTCCAATCGTTCTTCAAAATAACTTTATTTGTGTCATGCAGGTTTGCAACAACTTGAAGGTGCTTTCAAAATGGAAATAGAACAGAATGAGCTATCTGCAACTCATTTTACAAGTCCCTTCTTGTTTTCACTAGACATTTTAAAAAGGGTAAATTAAATAATTAAATAATAGTGAGGCGCAATACCCAAAGACATCCTTGATTAGATTTTTGTGTTTAGATCAACTTGTTTTCATAAGCAAAATTGGCGTCATTACTCACAAACAAGAACAAAGACGAGACATAACAAATCTTCAAATAAATCAGTTCCTCGTTTTGAATAAAAAACAAGCGAGTCAGTCTGATGGTGAGGAATGACCACCAAGTAATTCATTTACAAAGAGCCTTGCAGTTATTTGAAGACTTAGGAAAAACAACCGTTAAAATGATTTGTTTGTGTCATACATGTGTGTCTGCTTTACTATAAAAGTCTGCATAAAGTCAGATCAAATTCCATTTAACACTAAACAACACCGGATGAATAATGAAGAAATCTGGTACCTATAAGGCCAAAAGAAAAGCATTACAGTTAAGTGGTAGTTTTGAGGGTTTCAGATAAGTCTTTTTGTGGGAGTCCAAATCATAAAGATATTGATATATTCTGACAGTTACAGCCATGAATCATAAATATATGCTCACTTAAAAGTCTCCTCTATTGCTCTTGAATAAGACACAGAACCAGTGCAATATCATTTCAATTAGATCTTTTACTTCTCCATGCAAAAAGTTCCTCTCTAATTTGATTCTCATTGCCGTGCAACTTCTTCCACTCTAATCAGGCCGTTACTGTAATCCCGAGAGCTACAGTTCACTCCTTCCCCAGAGGCTCTGCAAATGGATGTTTAGATCTGAGTATGAGTAAGCATATTTGTGAAATGACCATCACCGGAGAGGCCTGCTCCAAATTCAGTTGCTGTTACACTCAACAGCTGGTTAATCAAGAAATATTACAGCATTGCCTGTGTAAAAATGGGGACTCAAGGCTGACCTAGATATGGTCTTCATGTATCTGCTGACCTCAACTGTCTCCCTGTACCGACAGGGTTTTGTGTCTGATAGCCCCATGCTTTCACTGACACCTTAGTTCACTTAAAAATGTAATTTGTGTCATCATTATACTCACCCTCATGTTGTTCCAAATGTGGAAAACAAAAGAAGATCCAATGAAAGGGCAAGATTGGAGCCCACTGACTTAAACTGTATTAAACTGTAAACATGACTGTGAATTATATGATTTTTTTTTTCTCTGATGATCTATCCACTTTTTCCTAAAGCCAACTGAATCATTTTGATACACAAATTACCAAGGCCTTTAAATGGACTATGTGTAACTTTTTATGTAATTTATTATTTAAATATGTCCTCAGTGGTGTACAAATACCTCTGCCAGTTATCTGACTTATCCTTGTAAACAAAGAATTTATTATCTTTACTGTACATGGGATGAGTAAGTCCACGGAGGCCTCCATGACATTCCGCCATCTTGAACAACTATAATAGCAGAGAGGGACATAAAGTACAAGGCCAACGCGTTTCCACAACGCATTTTCGTTCAGAGCCAATGTCATGTAACTGAAAGCAGCAGAAGCGGAGGAGCAGACCGGTGAGAGACGCTTCACTGCCCTGGCAAGAATAGTACAAAAATAGATTGTAAAATGAAACGTGATCGGAGATTACAAAAAAAAAAAATACGAGTTAATATCGGGATAGCTTTTTCCAGGTAGATAGAGCTAATGCAGGAGTTCAAAAGAGAAGTCCTGCTTTCTTCTCGACAGGTAAGGCAATGTTACAGTCTGATTTAAAAGCTTCATAGTTACCATACATGCAACGCACATTTCAAAAAGCAAGGCGCTGGAGAGCACAATTCGTCTGAATGCAAAATACATTTTCACGGCTAGATGGCAGCAATTCCTACACATAGTCCCTTTAAGTTTAAATGATCAACATGATCAAAAATGTTGCTGAATATTTTTTAGCAAGTAAAAGTCTTTCTAGTATAATTGTAAAAATGTCAATCTTCAGGTTGAGGTACATGTGAAGAGTTCAGATGCAAAAGCCTCTAAATGCCATTTGAAATTTTCTTCTTTAATGATGATTTTTATCAAACTTGTATATTTAAGTTCAGTAATTTCACTTAAATGGCAATGATAATTACCTATTAATTGTTATTTAAGTGAAATTACTGAACTTAAATATACAAGTTTGATAAAAAATCATCATTAAAGAAGAAAATTTCAAATGGCATTTAGAGGCTTTTGCATCTGAACTCTTCATGTCCTTGTGCTGTGAAATCATTCTGGGCACAGGGATATTGCAACGCGTTCTCATCCCAATT